TGCTCAAAATATTTGAGTTTTATTTTAAAAAGGCACAGGTCCTAACATGATGTATATACTGCACTTTGAATGTGCTACATCCATTAACATTTTCCATTTTCCTGGACTCTTAATATGTTGGATGTTTTCTGTTGTAAACAAAAGCTCTTTAGGGTTGTACTTGAATCATTTTCAGCTAGAATTTGTAACATACTGATGGTAACATTTATGTTTCATTTGTTGATTTGTATATCATGAAAGTTGTACTGACTGATGAATGTTCAGTGGATTGTATTTTGTAGATTGATAATTGGGTGAAAAAAGCTGATTTGTATCTATGTGGTGGCATTTATGAATGAGATTTCTCACTCTCAAATCAGGCAAATGCTTGTTCTCTCTCCTGCCCTCCCACTGAAGTTGATAGTCATATGCTGCTTTATGATTATAGTTGTTTATTAGGAATTAAAAGTTATGTCAAGCACTGCTCATTGTTTCCTGCATCAAATATTGTACCAACCCTACTAAATTTGCATTGTGGTACATTGCTGCTGTTAGTGTTTATTTATGTGTGCTGATCGATGCTGATTATGCACGGAATTGTACAAATAAAATAATCAAAAAACTCAGTCTTGTAAATTCAATTCATTTGAACATGAGTTGTCAGCTTGACATGAGTACTGTATTCAAGTGCTGACCTATGTTTTCTACATTTGTATTAAAGCAACCAGGAACATTTTGTTTACAGATTAAAACTACAGGAATTGTGGAGTCCTGTAGCTCAGTGGTTAGAGCACTCGCCTCACAAGCGAGAGACCTGGGTTCGATTCCCGGCAGGGCAAAACCTTGGGCAAGTTTCCTTACTCCACACACCTAATAATAATCCCTCCAAAAAAACAAAAACAATAATAAATTGTTCATTTTCAATCCATGACTGTTTGTGGGACACTGCTGTGCGCAATTGGCTGCCACATTTCGTCCACAGATATAGTCAATTCACTTTACAGTCTATTCTGTGAAGCACTTTGAGACGTCGATAAGACGTGAAAAGCGCTATATCAAATGCAACAACAACAAGATTCCATTTATAGAGCGCCTTTCACGTCGGGAGGACATCCCAAGGCACTGGACAGTTGGGTCAGGACCCGAGCAGGGGGAAATGGTCAGGGTGAGGGGAGGGAAGGGAGGGAGCGAGGAGGGGGTAGAGAGTCGAGAGGGGAGCTGAAGGCACGGTCAAAGAGAAAGGTCTTGAGACCGGCCTTGAAGGAGGAAAGGGAGGAGGCAGCGAAGGCACTGGGGGATGGAGTTCCAGAGCCTCGGGGCTGAGAGGCTGAAGGCCCGGCCACTGATGGTAGGGCGGTTGGGGCGGGAGATGTGGAGCAGACCGGAGCCAGAGGAACGGAGGGTACGGGCAGGTAAGTAAGGGGATAGTACGTCGGAGAGGTAGGTGGGAGCGAGGCCGTGAATGGCCTTGTAGGTGAGGATGAGGATCTTGAATTCGATCCTCTGGGGGATGGGGAGCCAGTGGAGGCGAGCGAGGGTGGGAGTGATGTGGTCCCGAAGCCTGGTGCGGGACAGTACACGAGCTGCAGAGTTCTGAATGACCTGCAGCTTGTGGAGGGAGGTGCCGGGAAGGCCGGCGAGGAGAGAGTTCCCATAGTCCAACCTTGAGGTGATAAAGGCGTGGACCAGGGTTTCAGCAGCGTGAGGGGTGAGGTAGTGCCGTAGTCTGGCGATGTTTCGGAGGTGATGGAAGGCGGTGCCAGTTGTGGCGCGGATATGAGGGAGAAAGGACAGCTCAGGGTCGAACAGAACGCCGAGGTTCCTGACTGGCTTTGAGAGGTGGAGAGTGCAGCCTTGGATGCTGATGGTGTCGGCGCCTGAGGTGCGGAGGCGCTGACGTGAGCCAATCAGGAGGGCCTCGGTTTTTCGCACGTTGAGCTGAAGAAAGTTGTCTCTCGTCCAGGACTCGATGTCGGACAGGCAGCTGTCAGGACATCGGTGGTCGTGGAGTTGAGGGTAGAGGAGGAAAGGTAGAGTTGGGTGTCATCCGCATACATGTGGAAGTTAACCCCATGTCTGCGGATGATGTCACCGAGGGGGAGCATATAGAGGGTGAAGAGGAGGGGACCGAGGACAGAGCCCTGAGGGACACCGCACGAGACAGTGCGGGGGCCGGAGGAAAAGCCGTTCGTGGAAATAAAATGAAGACGGTGGGAGAGGTACGACCTAAACCACTCAAGGACAGGGCCTTGAAGGTTGAGGTGGGAGGACAAGCGGTGGAGTAGGATAGCGTGGTCGACTGTATTGAATGCTGCCGATAGGACGAGGAGGCAGAGGGAGCCCCGGTCGCAGATGATCAAGATGTCATTGGTGACCTTGACCAGGGCAGTTTCTGTGCTATGGGCAGCACGGAAACCTGACTGAAGGGGTTCGAATAATGCATGGGTGGAGAGGAAAGAGCGCAGTTGGGAGGCGACAACTCTTTCAAGGACCTTGGACAGGAAGGGGAGGTTGGAGATGGGCCGGTAGCTTGATACCTGCGACGCATCAAGGGAGTGTTTTTTCAAAGTGGGAGTGATGGTGGCAGTTTTTAAGGGAATGGGAATAGAGCCAGAGGAGAGGGACAGGTTGATGATGTCTGTGATAAGTAGGGGAAGGAGGTGGAGCTGGGAGATGTGGAGTGGGGATGGGGTCAAGGGAGCAGGTGGTGGGTTTCAGGGACAGGATGAGTTTGGTGATAGAGGGTGGGGAAACGGGTTTGAAGGTGTGTAGGGGAGGATGGGTAGGGAGTGTGGGAGGGAAGGGGTGGGGGGTGGGTGGAAGTTGGAGGGGGAGTGACCGCGCAGCGGATTCCATTATTATAACCGGATTATTATTATATTATATATTATTATATTATTAAGGACTATTATTATTACAACCGAGTTGTTAGTCGATTGGTGGATCGCTTTTCCCTTCAAGAACTTTTTTTAAATAATAATAATTTGATTACTTAATCCACGACTGTTTTGGGACAATTGGATACCACATTCCCCCACAAAATATACAGCCACTCTGTGAAGCACTTTGAGAGGCACTATATCAAATGCAATTATTATTATTATTAGGGCCTGATAACTACTTACCAGTAGGTGATGGATCACCAGGGAGAAAGGAGTATAATAGAACTCACAAAAACTGAGACCAATGGGAAGATGGCGCAATCAAATTGCGATTCGGATTCTGATGAAATTAAACTTCAAAAACAAGTTGAAGTCATGTTCATTCAGGGTGAATGTCTCAAAAAGAGTTTCATAGAGATGAAATGGAGCACCAATCAATGAGAAAAGGAAGGAAAATTTCAGGGGAGTTTCTAAACACTGCCTATAGAGTAAACTTATATCTTGTTTTGGTCGAGGATTTAGGTGCAATTTACCTAATTAGAACATGTGCTCGTGAGAGGTTTAAATCAATGAGTTAATTGTAGCCTCAAACCCAGTCTTTCCGGGTTGATAGTGTACACCAACGTTCATTTAGCTGTTTGAAAGGACGCGACAAGATCACTCATTTTCATAACAATTTGCATTTATGTTCACCCTTACGGTAAGATATCATCTCGGAGTGATTTACACTAATGGGGTCGGATGCTAAGTAGGGGCAATGGGGGAAGGGAGAGGTGACTGTAGGAGTGGTCGATGACAGTTTAGCTCCCGCTTACCCCCCTTCCACCCCCCCCCCCGTGAGTAACCCATTGGTTGTTTGTTATTATTAAATATATATATAGATAGTAAATTAAAATGCATTTTGATCCAATTCAAAACATTACAGTGAGGCCACATTGCTCCCCGAAATAGTGAGGGGAGTGAGAATGTGGCTGAGTGAGAATGAGGAGAGCAGTTTGCTATGACAGTACAGCGCCCTGGGGGCTGGGTCATGCACACTGTCTGCTTGCCATGTTTGGAGCAGTTACAGTGTCTGTGAGGGGGTGGGGGTGTCTGTGAGGGGGGGTGGGGGGGTGTCTGTGAGGGGGTGGGGGTGTGTGTGGAGGGGTGGGGGTGGGGTGTGTGTGAGGGGGTGGGGTGTGTGAGGGGTGGGGGTGTGTGTGGGAGGGGGTGAGGGGGTGGTGTGTGTGTGGGTGTGTGTGTGAGGGGTTGGTGTGTGGGGGTCACAATGACTGAGCTGTGGCTGCTGTGTGTTGGGGAGATGAAGATGGAGCCACAGAGACTAAACCAGGGAGGAGCGACTTGAGAGCAGCCACACACACACACACAGACACACACACAGAGACACACACACACACACACAGAGACACACACACACACACACAGACACACACACACACACACAGAGAGACACAGACACACACACACACACACACAGACACAGACACACACACAGACACACACACACACACACAGAACACACACACACAGACACACACACAGACACACACACACACACACACACACAGACACACACACAGACACACACACACACACAGAGAGACACAGAGACACACACACACACAGACACACACACACAGAGACACACAGAGACACACACACACACACACACAACACACACACACACACACACACACAGAGACACAGACACAGACACAGACACACACACACACACAGACACACACACACACAGACACACACACAGAGACACACACACACAGACACACACACAGACACACACACACACACAGAGAGACACAGAGACACACACACACACACACACACAGAGACACAGAGACACACACACACACACAGACACAGAGAGAGAGACACACACAGACAGAGGAGGGTGTTGGCGGCGGCTGAGGACCTATTGCTTCTCTCCTCCTCTCTCCTCCCCCCTCTCTCTCTCTTTCTCTCTCTCCCCCTCTCCTTCTCGCTCTCCTTCTCTCTCCCCCTCTCTCTCTCCCCCTCTCCCCTTCTCTCTCTCCTCTCTCCCCCCTCTCTCTCTCCCCCTCTCCCCTTCTCTCTCCCCCCCCTGTCTCTCTCTCCCCCCCCCTGCCCCCCTGCCCCCCCGGGATGGCCCCGCTGCCCCTGGCCCCGCTCCTCCTGTTGGCCGCCGCCGCGGGGTGTGTTGTGGCCGAGGAGCCGCTGCCCGGGAGCCCGGGGGCCGAGGAGGAGGCGGCGGAGCCCGGACTGAGGCTGGAGGAGAGCCGCAGCCCCGAGTCCCAGTCCCAGCCTCAGCCTCAGCCTCAGCCCCAACACCAACACCAACACCAGGACACGTACAGCAGCTTCACCGGAGAGTACTTCGAGACGCGATACTGGGGGGACGAAGGTCTGTGCAAACCCTTCATACTGGGGGGGGGGGGGGGGGGCATGTGGGGGGGGGAGGGGGGCAGTGTAGAGTGGGTGTTGTATGTAGTGTAGTGGGTGTAGGATGTATGTAGTGTGTGTGTGGGGGTGTAGGATGAATGTAGTCTGTGTGTGTGTAGGATGTATGTAGTGTGTTTGTAGGATGTATGTAGTGTGTGGGATGTATGTAGTGTGCGTGTGGGATGTATATAGTGTGTGTGTGTAGGATGTATGTAGTGTGTGTGTGTAGCATGTATGTAGTGTGTGTGTGTAGGATGTATGTAGTGTGTGTGTGTGTGTGTGTGTGTGTTAATGGATGAGCAGGCCACCCACCCCCTGTCTGATTGAGTTGCCTGTGTTCAGCCCCAGTGCAGGTGGGGCCCCTGTGTTGATGGGCAGCTCTGGTGTTTCCTGCTGCTGTTGGAGGGTTTCAGTACGGTGGGGAGTGGGATTTCCAGGCTGGTTTCTCACTGTTGGGCCTGGGATATTTTTTTTGCGCCTGTAAATTGAAAGGGTTGGATATTTTGGTGGCTGTGAGCTGGATCCCAGGCAAGAATTGGTTCTGTGTGAAGGTTCGAGCTGGTGCCACTGAATTGTCATTCCGCATTCAAGTCTGTTCATAGGTGGGGTTTAGAGGATGCAATAAATAATAATCCATACATTTACTGGATGTAAAATTGGTAATTATATATCTAAAGGTGCGGTAATATTTATCCCCCCCCCCCCCCCCCCATCTAGTTGCCCTCCTCCTGGCCTGAATGTGCTGTTGATGTAATGGTGCTATCCAGGGCTATTGACCAGCCTCTGGTAAGTGTCCAAGTGTCCATTCTTCTTGTGAGTCAGTGGTGAGGTTTGGCAGGTTCTTGTGGGACATCAGGTCTTAATCCAAACCCCGTCCAACTTCCGCACACGCGTGACGTTTTCCAGCAGTGGTGAATGAGCTGCAGTCAGAAGAGGAAACACTGGTTGATTCATAATAACAATCCTTGCATTTGATATAGCGCCTTATCACATCATTGAGACGTCTCAAAGCGTTTCATAGAATATACTGTAAAGTGAATTGACTGTATGTTTTGTGGGCAAAACGCGGCAGCCAATTGCACACAGCAGCGTCCCACAAACAGTGAATTGAATGCCAAATAATTATTATTTCTTTGAAGGGATTGTCACCCACAGAAAGCAATTTGTCAATTGACTAACAACCAGATTCTTACTTACTGCTAGATAAACAGAGGTGTATGGAGGAAAACCTAAGGTTTTATCTTTTGGCTATCACATGTAGTATCTTTGATAATAGTTACTGTGGGATATGAGCCTGCAGGTGCTGTCCCTTTGAGGTTCGGTTGTGTAGAGACGCCACAATCCGAACCTCCCCATAATTTATTCGTGTGAATCAGAGATACTGCCAGGAAGGCTATGCCTTTGCCGCTCCGTTGGCTGGGAACAGGATGACAGCAGGCCCTGGTCTGAGGAGAAGCAGAGAAGCTGGAACACGGATCTACCTTGAGCCCTTGGTGACCAGGCTCAGGCTGGGCTTGCCTGGGCCGGAGAGGCTATCCAGTCACCTGACTTGCTCAGGTGGTACCATTTTGATGTGTAAACCTTGGCATCTTATTTGACCCTCAACTGTCCTTTCTCCCCCACATTCGTGCCATGACCCTCTCTGCCTCCCCCACATCCGCAGCATCACCCAGCTCCGCCACTGCCTTACTTCTGAGGCCGCCGAAACCCTCATCCACACGTTCATCACATCTAGGCTTGACTGTGCCAACTCCCTGCTTAATGGCCTTCCCAACTCTTCCCTCCACAAGCTGCAGATCATCCAGAACTCTGCAACTTGTGTACTCTCTTGCACCAGGCTCCATCTCCATGAGCCTATCATCCCCACCCTCATCTGGTTCCACTGGCTCCCCATCCCCCAGAGGGATAGAGTTCAGAATCCTCATCCTTGCCTTCAAGGCCCTCCATGGCCTTGCCACCTCCTACTAACCTGCTAACCCCATATCAACCTGTCCACTCCCTCCGCTCAGCAGGCTCTAGCCTGCTCCATATTCTCCGCCTTGCCCACCCCATCATCGGTGGTTGGGCCTTCATATTCATCCAACATTTCCTTCCCTTGCTCCCTCCCTCGCCTCCTTCAGGGCATGTCTCAAGACTGTCAACTTCGACTGCGCCTTCGGGCATCTCTCTGCCCTCCCTGGTCCCAACTCCTGCTCAGGTATAAATCCCTGATGTCCAGCGCCTGGACGTCTTCCCGACATGAAAGAAGCGATACAAGTGTAATTTGTTATTGCTGTTTTCCTACTTTTTTGTTTTCTCATAGAATATCTATACTTTGTTCATGATGGGTTTGATCTCTGTGTTATGACTTGTATCTTGCAGGTTATGCTTTCCCATCTCCTCCTCCTGTGGACCCTTTTGCAAAAGTTCGAGTCGACGATTGTGGAAAAACTAAAGGTTGCTTTAGGTGGGTGCTGGCTGGACATGTGAATGCATGTCACACAGCAATCTAGATATAATCATGTTTACATCATTAAATGCATGGGTGCTGGCTGTGTGTCTTGTAGGATAATTACCAATAGATCTATCACAACACAAATGATTCCTTTAGACCCTTTCTGATATTTCACAACTCAGTCCTACTCCCCATATACTTTAAGCTTTCTCCTTGTGAAAACATATTTGTGTTGCCTCTCAAAACCATTTAAACTGTGTGCATTAATGAACTTCCTCGCTAATTTATTGCCTTTAATTTTAAAAAAACCTTGACTTTCCTTCTTTTACCTAACTACCTCAATTTTAATTTGTTTCTCCAGACATTGGAATATTTGCCATATATAATTGTATGTTCACATTAATCTTTTCAACTCCTTCATAGTCCTTTGCTCATCTCACAGCCTATTTCCTTAATGTTTCCTCATAACCTTTCCTGAGCTGCACACTGCATCACAGTTCCACTTAACAAATCCTTCATCTTTTAGTTCCTCACTTTGGACCTAAATATTAAATGTAACACTAAATTGATCCCAATTTTACCTGAGGATTGTTGCCCAGGATCCTGGGAGTTGGCCAGAATCTCCCTTCATCTTTTCGAGTATTACCATGGGATCTTCAACATCTATCTAAACCTTTGTTTAAAGACTCATCTGAACTTGGGTGTAAGTGTTGGAGGATTTGGCCTTCAAGGGCAGATAACAGTTAATGAGCAATTTTGTTAAATTGTTGGGGTTTGGTGTGCATCAGGTTATGGATGTTGCTTGAATAAATTAATTACAAAACCTGGAGCAGTGGGACAAGAGTTTCTCCTGGACACAACTCAAGCCAGTGGCAATTCCCTTTGACCTGCATGTAGTTTGATATGCTGATTTAGAAGTCCATACTGTAAAGGGTTACGTATGTACATTATCGTGCATCAGAACTGGATAACACTGGGTGCAATTCTCAGCTGCAGCCTGGATGCTACTCTGATTTATTTGAGCCTTTTTGGAAACTTAAAGCTGTATCTTATTTCATGCTGTTGATTGTACTTCTGATCTTACTGCTGAAAAGGTCACATCAGGAGAGAGAGAGAATGATTTCTAGACATAGCCTCGCTAAGCTTGCAGTAGCATACTTCCTCTTACTCCAAGAGGTAGGATTCCTCTGGCAAAGATCAGGAGGTTAGCAAAGGATTTCAACCTATTTTAGAAAACCGTGCCTGGAGAAATATAGTCCCTAATTTGAGGAAAGCCATCTCGTTTTAACCACATCCCATGGCAGATTTTCCTCCTTTCAGAGCCAAAGTCTATATGTGTATGGATGGGGAAATGGGAAGAGGGTAGTGAAACAAATAACGATAGATTACATTCCATTATGTGCTGCTTTTTTGGTCACCTATATGTCTGATGCATGCAGAAACCATCACCATGTTTAAGAGTATCCAAGCCAGACAGACAGTTCCACCTCCACATGGCAATTTCCATGCCTGGAATGGAATGCCTCCTCTCCCTGGAGGGATGCATTATTCTAACTTAATTCCAGAGAATTTTAGGCCCAGGTTGGAAAGAGCTAAAGCTTGGGGATTTCACAGTAGGGGTTAGGGTACTGCTGGAGTCTAACCAACTAAAAATACATAGCTTGCCATTGAAAGCACTGCCCAGCAAGCTGCCCACTTATTGTCCAGCTAGGACCACCCTGCTGTTTGCACATACATCTTTACAATATACAGTAATGTACTGTGGCATTTAAAATGTGGCTGAACTTTAGATGAAAATAAACCAGCTCTGAGTCAGAGTCCTAAAAGGTGAGAATTTATTGCAGGCGTCATATTGAGATAGTTTACACTGGAGAGAGAAAGTGTATACCAGCCCCAAGCCTCCAGTGTGAATTAGGATATACATTTTAGAGGCATTATCAGTTTCACAGTCCATGAATAGATGTTACCCTTGTTTGACTGACCAATAGTGCAGGTGAAATTACTGTATATAATTTTTATATATGTATACATATACATGACGTATAGCACAGAGCCACAGATTTTCAGGGATGTGAGTGATGAAAGATGAAACGTGAGAGAATGCATTTCATTAATTCTATCAATGTGCATTTAAAGAGCATTTAAGTCACATTGATAAGAAATTAAAAGAAAATGTCTGCAGATTGTGGAAATGTGATACATTTGTGACACAGATATAATCGGCCAATGGCTATCTTAATAATAGTATAATAAGCCTTGCATTTGATATAGTGCCTTATCACATCATTGAGATGTCTCAAAGTGCTTCATAGAATATACTGTAAAGTGAATTGACTTTATATTTTGTGGGCGAAATGTGGCAGCCAATTATGACGAAGGAAGTAAGAAATACATAAAATCAGTTAAGTTTGGACTCACTCTAATGGTATTTGAATTTGTCCCTCCCTTCTCCTTGACTGTAGATATGGGAAACCTGGCTGTGATGCGGACACGTGTGATTACTTCCTCAGTTACCGTAGGATTGGTGCTGATGTGGAATTTGAGTTGAGTGCTGATACTGATGGCTGGGTAGCTGTCGGATTCTCCTCTGACAAAATGATGGTAAGGCTCCCCAAAGGGTAGTTTTAATAGAGATACACATAGTGAAAACAATAATAAGATCACAAACATCGAAGCATGAAGAAGGCTCTTCTGACCCTCTTGATTCCAACCCCCTGCAAACCTTTAACTGCAAACCCTTGGGACGTTCTCTGACGTGAAAGGCATTATATAATTGTCATTTTGTTGTTGTTATCTGAACTTATCCATTCAGAATACGCAGCCTATTGTCCATTCATCATGGCATCAAGTTGTCTTTTAAATGAGTTCAAGTTAAATGACTCAACCACCCTTCCTGAAAAGCTTTTCCAGTTGTCAAGTACTTTCTGGATGAAGAAAAAATGGAATTGTAAACATGTCATCATGTTGACAGCACTTGGTTTCCTACATTCAATATCACATATTAGAGTGAATGTAGGAAAGCAAGTACTGTAAACATGATGAATTTATAGATATTTGTTTTGTTTGTCCTAATAAATTTTCATATACATTTCAATTAATATTGAAAGAATAGATGAATTGGGGTGCAGTACAGTCTGGTCACCATTGCCTGCTAATTATTGGCTTTTCGTGAAAGATACAAAGTGACTGACAGTAATTTTAACCCCACTAAACTAAAAGCACACCCTTGTTTGAATTCTGCTGCTGGCAGTAAAAGAATCCTGACATTTTTGTGCAATAAAAGACTTAAGGGATGATTAAAAATCCGGCTTGCATTTTTGTTGCAAGTGTCATTCCACCCTTAGCAGCACTCTACATACATTTATCCAATTCCACCAAATATGAATCCCTAAGCATTCTGTCAAGAGAATAATAAATGCCTGGAAAATGTTTCAACAACAACAAAGTTACATTTGTATAGCACCTTTCACGTCGGAAGCATGTCCCAAGGCGCTGGACAGACAGAGTTACGGACCCGAGCTGAGGGTCAGGGTGTGGAGGGGGGAAGGCAGGGGGGAAGCAGGGAGTTTGAAAGCACGGTCAAAGAGGTGGGTCTTGAAGGTGGCGAGGGAGGGGGTGAGACAGAGGGACTGCGGAATGGAGTTCCAGGGGGTGGGTGCAGAGTGGCGGAAGGCCCGCCCGCCGATAGTGGGGCGAGCAAGACGGGGGCCAGAGCCCTCTGAGTGGAGGGAGCGAACAGGATGGTGGGGGTTAGGAGGTCGGAGAGATAGAGGGGATATATCAAGGAAATAACAGCAAAGAGATTCGTTTCACATCATAAACCACATAAATAAAGCTTTCTAGTAACAAAGTTATGTTTCTCTTCCCCCCCTCAGCCCCTGTATACCTGTACGTTTAATCACTCCCAGGATTTCCCCATTTCATTAGACGTGTGTAGTGCAATTTGTTCCACATTTCCTTTGATGCAGATCTTGAACTGGTCACTGGGAGGCACACAAGATTTGCTATTTTTCCTCCCTCCTTCCAGGAAACATTTTTGGGGTCTCCCAAAGAACCTGCCTGAGATTGGCAATTTTTCACAGGCAAGAATATATACATCTACCAATTACATTATTGGGCAGGCAGGGATATTGTAAATGACAAAGTTCATATGATCACAAGGTTTACATGTAGATACCCTTCAGCTTATGCATTCAGAATGCCAGCCTAACTGTGATTCCATAAGAACATCAGCCTGTATCTTGAACAAATCCAGTGTCCTGGTTTCTTAATATCTATCCCATCTGTGGATACCCTCTTTGTGAAGAAATACCAGATGTCTGTCCCAAACTTGCCCTCCAGAACCCTGAACCTGCTGTGTTGGCAAGTCTGAAAGTATTTACTTATTAGATTTACTTTCTTATCCTATTTGGCACCCGATTGTTACCAACAAACAAAAGTGTAGAGATGAGAGGGGCTATGTCAGTGTTTACCTGAATTTACAATTGTTCATTCACCTATTCTTTCTAAAGATCTGAAATGTTTGTAATGGAAGTTACAGTATTCAACCAAAAAGTGTATTTAATTTGAGATTCTCTGTTTTCAGTGTATTTGTATGAACCATATGAACATTTTGTTGCTGGTACGGTATTCTAAGATTAGAGATCACAATGCTTTTTAAAAATATTTATATATACTCAGTGAATGTGTGTTCATAACTATAATTTTATCTGTAATCTTAGATAATTAACAACCAAATCCAGACTGAAAAGCATTTTCAACATTGTATTGTTATTCATTGTTTGTATGTTTGATTCCCCAGTGATGCAATATAGTGGGAGAACTGTAAGGGGAGCTCTTATAATAGACATATTGCTCAGCTCAGTTTTAAAGTTGCCATGCAAAATTATAGGAAGCCTTCAAAATACATGGATACCCTCAATCTAAACACTGACTTTAACACTCCTTCTCACGCAAGGATAGTGAACCTTGGCCTTTGTTGTGATTAATTTTATGTCACATTCTAGATACTTACTGTCTTGAGAACTACCAGGTATTATTAAAAAAATGCAATTTATTTTAACATAAACCTTGTAAATCTCACACAGTCTGAAACACTTTATTGCTCCTTCAAATAATGACATAGATTGTACATCATGGAGACAGGCCTTTCAGCCCAACTAATTTATGCCAGTGTTTATTCTCCACATAAGCCTCCACCCCTCCTTCTATTCCCTTCTCTCTAATATAGGCATCAAGTTTCCTCTTTAAAAAAATGATCCTCTTGCAATAAGAATAATCCTTGCATTTGATACAGCGACTTATCAAATATATCATAATTTATCACTTATATACCTTATCACGAGATATTTCAGAACATTTTATAGCATTTGCTATAAAGTGTAGTGACTCTGTACAGTATTTGAATGGAAATGAGGTCGCCAATATACACACAGCAGTGTCTCACAAAACAGTCATGAAATGAATGATCAATTTTATCTGGAAGATCATATCGATCCATACCTTCAGCTGGATCCATCTATACCTTCAAGAGTGAGGTTGATAGATTTTTGGTAGGTCAAGGTATTAAGGGATATGGGGAGAAAGCGGGAAATTGGAATTGAAAGGATTAGTTGAGGTACAGATCAGCCATGATCTAAATAAATGGTGGAACAGGCTCGAAGGGCTGAACGGCCTACTGTTCCTATCTTCCTAAATCACAGGCCTGGATACTATGCTTCAATGTTACAGGCACTATATCAAATGCAAGGCTTATTAATTTTTATAGCACATTCACAACTTTGTTGACAGATAAAGACGATGACTCAGTTAGATCCATAAGCTCTTAACTAAGGCATGTTGTGTTTGAATGTTTGTAGGGAGGAGATGATGTAATGGCCTGTGTACATGATGACAATGGCAGAGTTCGAATACAACACTTCTACAATGTTGGACAGTGGGCCAAAGAGATCAAAAGAAACCCAGCCAGGGATGAAGAAGGTATCTTTGAGAACAACCGAGTGACTTGTCGATTTAAGCGGCCAGTGTATGTCCCCAGAGATGAGACCATTATTGATCTTCATTTGAGCTGGTATTATCTATTTGCATGGGGTCCTGCCATACAAGGTGAGTCAGTATTTTTCTGGTTATAGCTATAGTTAGAGAAATTTCTAAAATGATTCTAATTTTATTTGAAAATGTAAGAAAATGTGTCAAAGGTGCAAAGGACAAACATACAGGGTTTTCAAATTTCTAATAAGAATCTCAGTTTCTAATAAAAAAACCACAGCTTTCTAAATTTATAATGTTTTTATAAACATTATAAAAACCTTGGAGCTGAACAGAATCGAGTGAGCCCTCTGTGGCGGCCTTGGTAGTCCGGTTCCTGATCCAAGCGAGTCCGCAGTATTCCAAGGCACTGCTGATGACAGCACAGCCAGCCTGGCTCATCGGCAGGACCTGGAAGGGCAGACCAGTCACTGGGGGCAGGGAGTCATCCCATTCAGCATCTGTTAACACTGCACAACAAAGCTCTAACAGGTAAGGTTGTCCAAGCTGGACAAGCAGTGGGAAAGCTTGCTAGACAGCAATATCAATGGCAAGCTATGCGGTTTTTAGCTGGCTAGCCTTCAGCAGTACCCCAACACACACTCTGGGGTCCCCAAGCCTTGGCACTTGCCAACCTGCGACAAATCCTTTCCGGAATTAGGTAAGCAGGACGAGCCCCTCCAAGGAGAGAGTGCGCATTCCAGTCCAACAATCTATCTCTGGAATTTCCATGTGTAGGTGGGATGCATAGAAATCTCAGCTTGGTTTGGTTCGGATACTCTTAAGCATAGTGATGTGTTAAACACCCAGCTGACCAAAAAGAAATTCAGTCACTTTCAGAGGACTGTTTTGAGAAGAAAAAATTTGCATGTTTTGTTAAATTGAAAAATTTAGGAAAACAAACAAGTATAGTAATTTGTTTGTTCAGCCGGGTGTCTGACACATTTGGAAACCCATCGCCATGCTTAAGAGTATCCATGCGAGTTCCACGCATCTCACCTACATATGGAAATCCCTGTGTATTGGGATGGAATGTGCATGCTCCCCCTGTTTATTAGTTTTTCTGAGTGAGTTTCATTGGCATCGCTTTTCATTCTCCAATGCGCACTCTGGAGTCCCCCTCGTCTTGGCTCTCGCCAAACTGCACCTAATCCTCTCTGGAATTAGATAACCATATAAACAGGTGCATTCAATTCCAGACACAGGGAAGTTTCCAAGTGAGGTAATACAAACAGAGTGTTAACCTGGCTCAGTTGCTAGCACTTTTGCTTCGGAGCCAAAAGGTTGTGGGTTCAAGCAACACATTGGGATTTTGAATTTCCTAGTCTACTCTGATATTTCATTGCAGTGCTGGGGTTACGCTACATTGTCAGAGGTGTCATCCTTCAGATAAACCGAGGTCCCGTCTGCGCTTGTTTAGGTGGATATTAAAGAACCCATAGCATTATTTGAAAATTACAAATAATTTTGCCTTGTATCCTGGCCAACAATCCCCAACTAAACTAAGCCTTTGAATCAGAAGGTTGTTAGTTCAAGCCCCATATCTGGACTCTAAACCCATATAGTCTGCTTGACACTCCAATGTAGTGCTGGCAGAGTTCTACATTGTCAGAAGTGCCATCCTTCAGATGAGATGTTAAACTTAGGTCCCGTCTGTCTGTCCAAATGGGCTTCAAAGATCCCTTTGTACTATTCAAAAAGAGAAGGGAGTTTATCCTGGCGTCCTGGCCAACAATCCCTCAGGTAAAATTACTCATTCACTTCATGACTGTTTGTGGGACATTGTCGTGTGCAAATTAGCTGCATTGTCCACCCACAAAATACACAGTCACATCACTTTATATTCTGTGAAGCGCTTTGAAACATCTCAGCAACATGATAAGGTGCTATATCAAATGCAAGTATTTTTTATTATTATTTTGTTGCATCCTTAGAAGCTGTTGCTCGTTTTGTCACTGACGGCCTGTTTTATTTAGAAATAACTGAGAACTGCCATGACATACGCCCAATTTCCAATCTTTAATTCCATCAGCCAGGTACAGTTTCAAAGCCAAACAACTTTTTAATGCCCAAGTTATTCAACATCATCACAGACGCTGTGAAGGTTAGTTTAGTCAAATTGTGCCAAACACGCTAGGAAGTGAAGTCATTTATTTTATAATTTGTTTCCTTAAATAAAAAGAAGGGAACATGAGCATGTATATGTTCAGAGAAGGGAGCTTCTCCTGCTTTCCTGGCTAGCATTCCATCAGACAGAATTAATCATTCACTTTATGGCTGCTTGATTTGGACATTTCAATGTTGCGATAAGGCATTAAATCGAATGTAAGGATTATTATTATCTTTTGTGAGAAGATGCTTGCTATCTGAACTCCAATCATATGTTTGATATATCAAGAAGTGAGCCATTCATTTGAATTTGGGAATAAATTTGGATTAGGAGGGAAATATAAACCAGGATAATCGTGAGAAAGAAGCCATTTTGTTTGACATAGCACTCACTGGACAGGGGTGGTTGCTAAAATAAGAACATGCTCAAAGAATGGGATAATGATCTGGAAATAAATAATGAAAATGTTTATAATGTAGGATAGTGTCAAGTCAGCATTTAATCTTTTTACTGCATTTTTCCCCATTCTTTGTGTGCTGTTGCTGACCTGAAAGGCTCAATCACTCGACATGACATCGACTCTCCACCAGTATCCGGCGATGTTGTCAGTATCTACAAGTATGAGGATGTGTTCATGCCTTCAGCAACTTATCAGACCTTCTCGTCTCCCTTCTGCCTGCTGTTAATCGTTGCTCTGACGTTTTACATACTGATGGGGACTCCATAACCGTAACCTCGCAGATGCAGAGAACACGTTGGCATGAAGGACATTGACAGGGAAGAATTTTAAGTTGAAGAGAAACCACCACAAATGTACTGGGTGGAGTAGAACTGAAGATGGAGCGTCACTGAAAATGCAAAGTGTAATGATTTTACTCAAGTAACAAATGGCCAACTGATAATGACCTGTTAATTTTCAGCTACAGATATCAGAAAGGGGTGCCTGGTGGGACAATCGTACATTGACAGAACTGTCGGAGTGCTTGTGTTATTTAAGTTAAGCTCTACGTTCTGTTTCTATTCATCATTGATTCATTTTGTGCTGTGTCAAAGCCGCATGCATCATAAGGACTAATAATTTACTCCAGTGCATCAAACACATGTAAGGAAATTTTTCTGATTTAATTAATGATGAAATAATGTACACACAATTTGGATGTTAAACAATTGTTTCCTTAATTATAGTTCCACAGTCAATGATTATACAAAGATTAAAGACCCACTACTGCAAGACGCGATAATGGGAGCGACCAGGTTGTCAAGAAATGAGTTTTGATCAGTTGCCATATTTCCTGGGTGAGCAGCAAGCAGGTCTACATCTGGTTGTGCTTGACTGAACTCTCTATTTTTATACCTGGTTGGTTATTGTGCAAAGCCCAGACTAATCAGGTAGCACATACACCCTTTGTGGTTAAAGATCTTAGGCCCAATACTGTAGGGCATATTTACCAGCAGTGTTCAGGCTGACAGGTGTCCGTGTGTTGGCTACCAACTAAAATATTTTCTTCCAAGTGTTCTCTCCACTTCTCCTTAACAGAAGGCACATTCCTGGTGATCAAAGCCAGCCCACCAAGTGTTTTTCTGCATCAATTTCTGAGATTAACATTTTATGTGGACGTTTTCCTTACACACAGGAGACCAAGTTACATAATATTTCAGATTGGTTGCTCTAGTTGTATTTTGTTTTTTTGTATTTATCAGATTTGAAGGAAAGTACAACAACAACAAGTAAGTGTACTATGCTTTAAAAACAGAGCCTTGACAAATCATAAGTAATTTATTGTAAGTTGTTATTAGAACTTCTGACTTTTGAATCAATGAAGGAAGTATTTAAAGGGAGAAATAAACCTCTTTTTTTTTAAAAATGTATACCCAGGGACATTTTTGTATATTACTGTTTCTTTGTAGAATCTGTTTGGATGGCACAAAAGTTCAGATAATTTCAAAGAATTTACTTTGTGTAGGGTAAAAAAAGCTAACAGCTTACTTGATAAATAGAATCACAGAGCCAGCTGAGCAATGCTAGCATAAGACACTTATTCTGTGTGTGTTTGTATGTGTGTTTGTGGTCATGCATGAAACCTGGAAAGAGCAGTGATGAGAACTGTTGTGATAGTATTGATATTCAGAGGTCTTTGAATTAATACTATTTCTTGGAAGTTATATTTTGTATTCTTTATGTGCCAAACATTTCTTGGAAATTATATTTTGTATTCTTTATGTGCCAAACATTTTTTCAACAGCTTCTAAAGATGTCTCTCTCTCTCTCTCTCTTACCCTACCTGTAAAGTCTGCTTCAGAACCGCTTCTGCTCATTCTATTCTCACCCCCAAGTGTCCTCTATCACTGCTTCCTCTCTGCCTCAATGTCAGAGCAACAGAAAGTGCCAGATGGTGGACTCCGCTGGCATCCTCAACAGCAGTGAAAGAAATAGACCACTTTCAGGACACCAGGATAGCCCCACTTTTACAGCGCTGGCTGGTACTGTAAGAAGGGGGTCAAAAGGGAACCAATTTAGTGGTGCAATGGAAGAAGATGTAACTACACAAGGGTGAAATGGAGTTGCAGTATGTAGCTTGGGTGGAAGGTCATTTGTTAATCCTTACATCAGGAATTCATATGGACTGACTGGGTTTCAGTAATGTACAATAACAACAATAACAAAATTACATTTATAGAGCGCCTTTCATATCGGGAGGATGTCCTAAAGCGCTGAACAGTTAGGTGTCAGGGCCCGAGCATGGGGGAGGGGTGGGGTAGGGGTGAGGGAAGGCAGAGAGATGGGAGGGAGACCAAAGGCACAGTCGAAGAGAAGGGTCTTGAGAACTATGGGATGGAGTTCCAGAGTGTGGGGGCAGAGAGGCTGAAAGCCCGGCCACCAATCGTAGGGCGAATCGGGCGGGAGACACGGAGCATGAACGGAGGGAGCGAGCAAGTTGGTAGGGAGTCAGAATGGGATAAGGCAGGGTTATGTTATTAGTTGAAGTTAGATTAGAAGATCAGCCATGATTGAATGGCGGGGCAGGCTCGAAGGGCCGAATGGCCTACTCCTGCTCCTACATGTTATGTTATATCAGCAGGTCAGAGAGGCCATGGATGTAGGGTGGAAAGTAGGATTTTCATGAAGAGGAAGCAGAATGCATCTCACAAATATAGATCCTGTGGGGAAGGGGGAGAGGATCTTTGGGTACACATTGTATTCATATGCATGAGGACAATGGGAAGAGGGAGGGAAAGGAAAGCGACCCTGGAAGAGGGAGGGAAGGATGAGAAAATGAATAGAAGAAGCAAAGGGAAGTATTAAAGTTAGGAGGTCTTTTTATTTGGCTACAATATTGTTGCTAAGGGATATTATCTATAGTAATTTGTAAAACTGCTTTATATAATGTTGAATGTAGAAAGGTAAAAATCAGACTCACTCTCCCTATTGATGAGGTTCAGGTACCATCATTTCTCTGCTGCCTTGTTATTGTATTATTCTTCACTGGACTTCTTCCTTCATCAGTGCTCTGGCTGAGACATCCATCAGTTCAGGTGTTTGTCTGTTCCACAGTGTAACATCTTAATGTGAAATAGTTCTTTATTAAAGGAACATTCCAGGAGAAGCTTTGATAATGGCATAAGCCTTGCTTTTTTTCTTGAAAACAGATTTGTTTTTGTATTCCACATTTTTTTAAAAAAAGTTTATTTTATGTGTAATTAGCTTCTCAGACTTATTCATGTGATAAGCCCATACCTGGCCAGCTGTTCCCAGCTTTCCCTATCACCCAACCTATAATTCCAATCTATAATTATGCATTTTCTCCTTAATATAAGGCTAGTGCCTTTCAGTTATTTTATAATTGAATGTTCTATCAATTACTGACATTAATAATTTACTATCTGAACACATTAACTCATCATAAATGCTATAATTTTCTGTATAAAATATTGTGTTCAGTGTTTTGAACAGTAAATGTGTCTTAGTTCTTTCAGAGCTTTCAGAAGTATAGAATGGGATGCAGAGTATCTCAGACTTAAATCGGGTGGTGGACTCAAATATGTGTAAAGGTGCTTGGAACAGGCAGGGAAAGAAGAAAGCGATGGAGAATGGATAAAAATACTTCACAGAAAACATTGCAAAGCACTTTGAGATGTTTGACGTGATAAGGCGCTACATAAAATGCAAGGATTATTTCTCATTATATTTCCCATTTGTTACATATAAACTCATTTTGTCTATTTTCTTTTCTCAAAGCAGTATCTGTGGCATCAAATTCCACCTCGTCTCAATTATACAACAAGGGTTGTGGGACTTACCTTAAATATGTTTGCACATAATGGTGGAAATTTCTTAAATTGTCTTGTGGAAACTTTATTTTTAAAACTGCAATTTTAAGATAAAATGATCTTGCACACTAAGAGTAGGTGACATTTTAAGCCACAGATCCATAGGAAAATAAATGGCTCCTTGTGTCTGTCCTAAAATTTCCTTTCGTAACCTGAACCTCTTGTCATAGCTGATAGTATTGTCATTTACTGTTATGTACTATCAGCAATACTATGATGCAGTACTATGACCCTACAACAACTTGAATTTATAAAATGGCATTCATGTAAATAAACATCTCAAAAAGCTTAACATTGATCAATATGGATCAGTTTGATTAGCAGTCAAAAATCAATCATAAAATGTTTTGCTTATTAACACTCTGATCTGGTATTACAATCCTGCCTGATACTGCTACACCTCCATAAAGATAGGCTTTTGTGACAGAGTTGATCTACATTATTTCTTTCAATAAATGTAGCAGCAAAACTAATCGTTTACTGGGGTATGCAATTTTGATTTAGTGTATTTTAAAACAAAGAATGTATAGTTCTAGAAATTAATGTATAAATGAGACAGCCAAAACAAGTTAGTTATTTTTGTATGTAAATTATGCCTTTAATGCTTGTTGCCGTAAGTGTATACCAAATGCTGCATTGCTTTGTACAGTAAATGTAGTTCATCGTATGGTTGTGCATAGTTGGAGATATTTAATTCAGAATAGTATCCATTGCACAAAAAGGGCATGAAGCTAATTAATGCAATAAATATTGGGTTACGTGTTTGCTGGTGTATTGAAAATCCATGAAATGCAACTTGTACTTTAAGACTGCTATTTCAGTTGCATAAAAGGTAATTAACTGGGGTGGGCTCAACTTTCAGAACCCAGTTCTTGTTTTGAATTTTGAATTTTGAATTTGAAAATTTTTATTACAGTTCTGATTATTATTATATTGTGCTGACATAGTCTTGTGAAAGCTCATTGTATCTTTTTGCGATGAGCATTTTGCCTCTTTCAGTTTTGGATGAGTGATGATGATTTGTTCCATCGCCCCGCATTTAAGCTTCAGAGGCATGAAATTTCACATGTTCTTAGGTTTAAGATCATTCATTGTGTTAATATTTCAGATCAAGTGTAATTCTGGAAAACAGTCTTAAATTCAGTCTTCATTAAAAACAAGAAGAAATTGCTGGGCCCCTAAAGCTGCACCAATAAAGAAAACACAAAATTGAGTATTTTATCACCTGAATGTCTCCAAAACAAATTATGATACCAAATACCAAGTGCTCATCCCTAATATCTTTTTATGTGAAATCCTTCGTAAAAACAATATTCAACAATAACTGCAAACAACAAAAACGGACGCTCAATTTATTTAACTGTTAGAACCATTTATTAAATCAATATTTGGTGATGTCATTAACTATTCTCAATAAAGCAAAACCATATAATTACTAATTGTTCTTGAGTTGACTATTCAGTCTTTGTTGTATTATGATTTTTAGATAACTAACATGGTGTATTTCTGTGATTAGAATTGATCAATTTGAATAAAGTAGAAAAAAGTTAAATCTGATTAGTTTTTGTACTGATTTATACAGAATCTCTGGTCCATTCAGATACAATTGATGAACTTTTAAGATTACCTGTATAACATCCTTGCTTTAAAGCATTGCACTGAATGCTTGTGTATGATAAAATTTGAATAGGAATTCTAGTTAAAAATATTATACATATTCTTCAGTTGAATGTCAACAAGACCGAGGCCCTCCTGATTAGTTCCCATTAGTGCCCTCCACATCTCAGGCGCTGACAGCATCACCATCCATGGTTGCACACTCCACCTCACAAAGCCAGTCCTGGAACTTGGCAGCTTGTTTGACCCTCAACTATCCTTTCTACCCCACATCCATGCCATGATCCTCTCTGCCTTCCTCCACCTTCGCAACATCACCTGGCTCTGCGACTGTCTCACACCTCAGGCCACCGAAAACCTCATACACGCATTTATAACATCCAGGCTTAACTATGCAAACTCCATGCTTGTCGGTCTCCCCACCTCCTCCCCCCATAGGCTGCAGTTCATCCAGAATTCTGCCGCCTGTGTCCTCTCCCGTATCAGGCTCCGCGACTCTATCATCTCCATCCTCATCCCACTCCACTGGCTTCCCAACATATGGAGGATACAGGTCAAGATCCTAGTCCTCACCTTCAATGCCCTTGCTCCTCCCTATCTCTGCAACCTCCTAACCCCCTACCATCCTGCCCACTCCCACCACTCAGCGGCCTGCTTCACGTCCCCCGCCTCGCCCACCCCACCATTGGCATCCTCACCTTTAAGGCCATCCATGGCCTTGCCCCCTCCTACCTCTCTGAACTACTGACTCCTACCAACCTGCCCGCTCCCTCCGTTCAGCGGGCTCCGGCCTGCTCCGTGTCTCCCGCCCGACCCGCCCTACCATCGGTGGCCGGGCTTTCAGCCTCTCTGCCCCCACACGCTGGAACTCCATCCCACGGTCCCTTCGCCTCACTTCCTCCCTTGCCTCCTTCAAGGCCGGTCTCAAGACCCTTCTCTTCGACCATGCCTTTGGTCTCCCTCCCCCCTCTCTGCCTTCCCTCACCCCTTACCCCCCCCCCCCCCCCATGCTCGGGCCCTGACACCTGACTGTTCAGCGCTTTGGGACGTCCTCCCGACATGAAAGGCGCTCTATAAATGTAATTTTGTTGTTGTTGTGCGGGCCTTCAGCCACTCTGCCCCCACCCTCTGGAACTCCATCCCGCAGTGCCTCTCCTCCTCCCTTGCCTCCTTCAAGACCCATCTCAAGAACCTTCTCTTTGATTGCCTTCCCCGATCCAGACCCCCAGCTCAGGTCCAAAACACTGACTGCACAGCACCTTGGCGCATCCTAGCAACGTGAAAGGTGCTAAACAAATGTAATTTTGTTGTTGTTGTGTACATTTGAAAATCTTGGAGACGTGGAGTTCATAATCCAGTTTGACATTCCAGTGCAGTGCTGGAAGAGCACTGGCTTGTTGGAGGTGCTGTCCTTCAGATGAGACATTAAACTGAGGTTCTGTCTGTCCGTTCAGGTGGATGCTTCAACCCCCCTCCCCTCCACCCAACCTCTTCCGAATTCAACCTCCAGTTCAGATATAAATGACTGTCGAGTACCTTGGGTGTCCTCCTGACGTGAAAGGTTATTGTTATTTATCTATTATTGTTATTTATGACTGGAACAGATTGTCAGGAAGGTCAGTACATTGAACTCATTTTAAAAGATCCTGTAATGGGAGGAAGATAGGGTGGGTGTTGTAGAGGGATGAAATCAGATGGGCCAAAGGGTTTCTTCATCCACACCAATTTTGTGATCATCTGTGACAGTCCAATGCAGTGCTGGGGCGATGCTGCATTGTTGGAGGTGTTGTCTTTCTGACGAGATGCACAACCGACTCCCCATCTGCTCCTTCAGGTGGATCTTAAAGAACCCACGGCACTATTTGAAAAGAGTTTCTTGCTCCTGGGCGTCCTGGCCAACAATACCTCGCATAAAATTGGTCATGCACTCCATGGCTGTTTGCGGGGCTTTGCTGTGTGCAATAACCGTCTGCCGCATTCACCCACAAGACATGATCACTGCACGTTACAGTAGAATGGCCACGCGTCCCTGATTTATGGGGATAGTCCCCGAATGAGGCATTGTGTCCCTGGACAGGTTCGAGTTCAGCAACAAACTGAGCAAGAACAATAAAATCTCAAAACAGAAACAAGTTTCTCCAGCATCAGGACTCGTGCTGAGTTAGTTGGTTTTTTTTCTCTACGCGTTCCCCCGATTTGGTTTGCAAAATTCTATTTCACAGTATACGCTGTGAAATACTTTGGGACATCCTCCCAACTTGAAAGGCAAGACACACCGAATTGAAGCGCTGTTTTGGGCTCATCTCTTTAGCCACGAAATGAGGTGAGGGAAGGGGGTTAAGGGCGAGATAGGGGGGACTCTGGGATGGAGTCACCGAGAGAGAGAGAGAGAGAGTGGGGGGTGGGGCGGGGAGCGAAGAAAAAAGCTCCAGAAATGAAAATACATTTGGTCGCCCAAAGTCAACCCAACCGTCGCCGAAAAGTAACCCCAATATTACGCGCCGCCTCTTTATGGGAGGCAGAGTGGCCCCATACGAGTCAGTGTTTTTGAAACCGTAAGAGAAAAGGGGACGGTTTTTTTTCCCCCTTTCCCCCCCCCCAGGTTTGAAATTAAAACGTTTTTTAAAAGTGAAGCACCCACCCGCCCAAAGCCGTTATTTCCCGCACAGAGTGACGCAAACCCGCCCGATTGGGGGGGGGGCGGGGCGTGAAACCGCCCAAACCTGGGGAGGGGGGGAGGACTACAACTCCCGGCAGCCCTCGCGAGCCCCGTTACCAGGCAAACATGGCCGAGGAGATGGCGGCCGAGGGCAAACCGCCGCCCCTGGCCCCGCTGCTCAGGTCCTCCAGCGTCAGCCTCTTCAGCGACCGTGTCCAGCAAGGGGTGCAGCAGCTGCTGCCGCTCCGCTTCGACAAGAACATCAAGCAGGCCTTCTACAACACGGGGGCGCTCATCTTCGTGGCCATCTCGTGCGGGGCGGCCGTGCTGGTCTACTTCATCCTGGAGGCGTTCCTGCGGCCGCTGCTGTGGGCCGTGCTGTGCGGCACCTTCCTGCACCCCTTCAAGACCACCCTGACCGAGCTGGTGCGGCGCTGGCTGGCCGGCCTGCAGGACTCCCGCACGCCCATCCTCCTGGCCGCCCTCATGCTGCCCGTCTGGTTCGCCAACCAGGCGGTGGAGGCGCTGGGCTGCCGGGTGCTGGAGCAGCGCAAGCTCCTGCTGCTGCTGGCGGCCGGCGCCCCCCTCCTCTACCTGCTCTACTGCTTCAGCAGCTGGGTGGGCCTGCAGCTGGTGCTCACTCACACCGGGCACATCATCTCCCGGGCCTTGGAGTACTTCAACACCCTGTGGGTAAGATCATCATCACCACCACCACCATCAGCACCACCACCATCATCCTTGCATTTGATATAGCGCCTTATCGCTGTCTCACAGCTTCACGGGATATACTGTAAAGTGGGCTGACCGTATCGCGTGGGCGCTCCCGCCGTTGCCATTACCCGAGCGCTCTTACGTTTTGCCTGGCGCGCCCTGTTGGCGTCACTCTCTCTGGTTTTCGAGCTTTGGCCGGCGCCGTTAAGCGCCACTGATGACCGACAAGCCGGCAAGCCCGGCTGGTTGGCAGGAGCTTTGCGGAAGCAAGGGTTCTTGCGACTCTGCTTCTGTTGACCCTGCAAGCCAAAGCCCTAACAGGGAGGGTGGTCATAGCTGGACACGCAGTGGAAAGCTTGCTGGACAGCTTCACTATGTGTTTTTTAAACCCCAACACACACTGTCAGGTCCCCAAGACATAGCTTCTGGTAACCTGTACCTAATACTTAAATCAAACTAGGTAAGCAGGGCGTATGGGGCTGGGGGTGGATGGGCAGTGGGGGAGAGAGAGAGCACACTCCCATCTTCCCCAACTGGGAAATTTCTGTGTGTAGTTGGCATGGATATGTGCAGCTCTGTCTGATTTAGATACATTTAAGCATGGTGATGGGGTTTCTGTGTGGGTCAGACACCAGAACGATCAAAAAATGAATGTCTGCGATGAGCTGGACAGTCTTGTCAATCATCAACATATCAACAATGTCTTAGATTAATGTGGATCTGACTTGATACCTTTTATAGTTCCAAGGTGAAACGCCTGGCCACGGAATGGCAGAACAGAGCCAGCCCTCTGTGGCGGTCTCGGTAGCTCGGTTCCTGAGCCAGGCTGGTCTGCTGTATTCCAGGGCAACTGCTGGCTTGTTGGCAGGACCTGGAAGGGCAGACCAGTCACTGGAGGCAAGGAGTCATCCCACTCAACTCCTGTTAAAGCTGCAAACCTAATGGGTAGGGTGGTCCTAGCTGGACAAGCAGCGGGAAAGCTTGCAGCAATATCAATGGCAAGCTATGCGGTTTTAGTTGGTTAGATTCCGTTCGTACCCCAAAGCACACTCTGGGTCCCCAAACCTTGGCTTTTGCCAATCTGCGCCTAAAAAGCATGATGATGGGTTTCCGCATGTGTCAGACATCTGGCTGACCAAAAAACAAAACAAATCTTAGCCACCCTACCACAAGCCAAATATTCAGTGCACTCAATGTTTGACCATTAGCTTTTGGTGATCACAGAGAATTTGTGCAAACTTTCACAGAGTTGGCAGAGGCCACATAGAGTTTTCCATGCTGCTAGACTTCTGAAATATTGTTAGAGATCCAGTTGTGTGATAAACTGTTGCAATTTGGCACCAGTTAGTGGAGTTCTGTGTGTACACTAAATTGAGTAAACTGAACCAGTATGCACAGAACCCTGGCAAGAGTGATTCGGAAAAGGAAGTATAATTCTGGATTCAGCTCCAAATTGTTCTTCTGGTGGAGTGGATGCAGGTTGCTTCAAGCAATCTAAAGGGGCTTTAATTGCTGACCCCAGACATTTATCAATGATTTCTGCATATATCCACAATATATCTTCTCTTTCAATTTGGACTATTTTGCTTGCTATTTGTTCTTTCCGGTCAATCATTGCTGAGCCTTAAGCTACTGAGCACTATCCTCCGAAAATGTCTTTATCTTGCTTTCTCTCATTCCTTCAAAACGGTCTTAACAACATAATAACTCTTTGACTATACCTTTAGGCAAAATCTTAAATCTTCATTTTCCCATTCTCTTAGATCTATAATATTGTTTCCTAGTGTTCATTTCATGCAAAAGAAGTATTAAACGTGCAACTTATATCCTAGTAAAAGGTTTGCTATGAATTAAATTTTTCTTCATTTTAAAGCTTCAATCATGGAACTTCATCAGAAGCATCCTAACAGTCCAAATTCAATTAAAGTTCAAATTGTATAGCTTCATCTGCCTCAGTTAGTGTATTGCATAATTGCTTTCTTTATAATAATTGTTTGAGTTATGTTAATATTTAGATGTGATGGAGTTTTGTGATAGACAGTGCTTTCAATGACACGCTGTGTGGTTTTAACTGGTTAGACTCCACCGTTACACCAATGCACAGTCTGAGGTCCCTAAGCCTGCGCTTTTGTCAACCTGCGCCTTGTAGTTTTTGGAATTAGGTAAGCAGGATGCGTCCTCAATGGAGAGTGTTCATTCCAATAAATATCTCTGAAATTTCCATGTATAGGTGGGATGCATTGAATTTTCAGTTTGGTTTGGATAATCTTAAGCATTGTGATGGGTTTCCGCATGTATCAGGCATTCGGCTGACGAAAATAATGCCTTTTGGTTATGTATGACCTAGTTCATACATAAATTCTCAGACAAGGATATAGGTAACTGACCTTCTATCCTCATTCACATGCTTGTCTGTAAATATTGCTCACAAATTTAGACTTTTCCTCTCACCCTTTGGATAAAAATCTTACATTAACTTTTAACTCATTTTTAACTCATTTTGTTTGACCTGCAGAAGAAGGTCTTTAGAGTCTTTAGAAACTGTTGATGAAGCAACAAATAATGTTGATGATGCAGTGGTTGAGCCACTTTCTGATGTGGTTGCACATACTAACAGTGTAACAGTGTGAAAGCGTTTAATCAGAAACTTATCAAAATGCTGACTGCATCACATCCCACTGTTTATGGCAGAAATCCACTAAATGTGACAGCCACACACACATTGTAGACTGTGATACGGTTTATCGTAGAGGGCACTCAGCATTTGTCCCATGGCTGTCCCCATTAGATTGCCAGCTTTGAGCACATCAAACTGTGAACAGTAGATTTCTTTGTTGGTCCAATATGAAAGGAATTTTGCTAGACATTGTGAACTAATTCAGCCATGAGTGCTGTTCAAAAAACAGATTTCAGCTGCTAATTAAAATATTTGGATTCCAAATATCAGTTGGTAAGATGCACAAAATGTTGAATGAATCATGAGGTAGTCCAGAAAATGACCAGCAAGCAAGATGTTAGCAGGATAGCACTCCTGAACTGGGATGGAGAAATCTGTTTGAAGTGATGCTTCTGATCTCTATCCTGTGATGCTTGAGGGTAATGCCTGCATGTGGATTTGGATAAGGATCAAATTAACTGGGTTGTGTTTGCTTTCCTCTTTCCTCTCTCCTCTTTATATGTAAATGCATTGGGCTGTATTAACCTTCATGAATATAACAATCCTTGCATTTGAAATAATCACATCATCGAGATGTCTCAAAACACTTCACAAGATTTTATAATAATCATTACATTTGATATAGCGCTTTGTCACATCTTCGAGAAATCGCAAAGCGCTTCACAAATATACTGTAAAGTGAATTGACTATATATTTTGTGGGCAAAACGCGGCAGCCAATTGCGCACAGCAGTGTCCCACAAACAGTCGTGGATTGAGTGACCAAATTATTTTTAAGTTTTTTTTGTTTTGAAGGGATTATTACCCCGAGAAATGGGATCCGCCAATCAACTAACAACCGGGTTCCTACTTACTGCTAGGTAAACAACGTGGAGTAAGGAAACTTGCCCAATGTTTCACCCTTCTCGGGATTTGAACCCAGGTCCTCTCACTTGCGACACAAGTGCTCTAACCACTAAGCTACAGGATTCCGCATTCATTTTACTATGAAGCATAATTACTGTGTATTTGTGGGTAAACACAGCAGCCAATTTGCGCGCAGCCTGTCCCACAAACAGCCATGAAGTAAATGAACCAATTTTATTTGGGAGATTATTGGCTAGAACAGCAGGAGAAACTCCCTTCTCTTCTTTTTAAAATAGTATCATGGGATCTTTAACATCCATCCGAATAGGCAAACAGGCCCTTGGTTTAAGGTCTCGCCCTGAAGGATCTGAACCATCTCAAATAATGCATAAATTTAAATTGATATATATTTGAACCATTGAACTTTTTGGGGGGGTGTGTTGTTGTGGGGGGGCTGATGTTTGGAATTGGTTAAGTTAACTCTTAACAAGATTTTTAACAGTTTAAAAAATTACACTGAGCAGCAATTTAAAAAATAATATTTTTTAAAAAGTCATGAGGTTTCGTACTAACATGAATAATTCCCCAAAAAAGTTGGTTTAGCTGGGTTTAAGAGTATCCAAATGGTGCCATTTACAAATGGGAATTTCCCCTTATCTGGAATGGAATGAGTACTCTCTCCTTCGAGGGATGCACCCTGCTTAATGCTGGAGAGTATTAGGTACAGGTTGGTAAGTCCCAAAGCTTAGGGATCTCCAAGTATGTGTTGGGGTAATGCTGGAGTTGGACCAGCTAAAGCCATATAGCTTGCCATTGAGAGCCCAGTTTGTCAAACTTCCCAGTACTTGAACAGCTATGACTACCCTACCCTTTAGCAGAAAAATGTTTTATTACTAGCTTATTGAAAAAATATTAAAATTAAAAATTGATCATTTATTTGAAAACCAATTTATGGTATGTCATCAAATTTAGCATCATAATGTTTCTGAGTTATTGAAGAGTATCCAAGTGTTTTTTTACGATTTGTCATTCAAATATTGTCTATAACTTTTACCAAGACTCGACGTGGACACCTAATGTTAGAAGGAACGAGATCTGACAGAAAATGTCAAATTATGTGCAAGTGGTATAGACTGCCCAAATGACAATATTATGTAATGACTAAATTGCTGTGATCAAGTTAATCTTATTTATAAAATGTGAGTACTTTTTCTACAAATTGGAAATGTTTGCTCAATTAATTAGTTAATATTTAAGTTGAACTTAATAATATTTTGATTTCTGTAGTAATGCTGTGAGAGGGCCACCAGTGTAGTCTGAATGATGGTTTCCTAACTTGTGTGCATTGTTCTGCTGCAGGTGTGGACTATAATCGTTGGGTACTTGCTGGCAGTTTCCTTCAAATGGAACTCGAAAACTGAACGCTATCTTAAAACCATCTCTGTACCAGTGTGGACAGTGCTTCTCTTTTATTTGGGTAGGAAGCACTGTTAAAGTATAACTTGAATAAAGTAATTATTTAGTGTCCTATGAATGGACATTCTAACAATTTTCCAAGCTAACTGTTCTTTGTATATGAATTTCAAATTCAGATAATGTGATGTTATTTCTTTTGTGAGTATGGGATAACAACAACAACAAAAGTACATTTGTATAGCGCCTTTCATATTGGGAGGATGCTGGACAGTCAGTGTTTCGGACCCAAGGAGGTCGGGATTGGGGAGGGTGGAGATAATGAATGGAGCACGTTACCATGATGTGCCATATTATCCAGTTTCATTTGATGCATAAATCTAAATTTAATCTATCACCTTAGCCCTGAGATTATGCTGCACTCAAAACCTATTGATATTCATTATGTATATGTATGTACACTCTTCAAAAAACTGTGGCTTACGATAATTGTCAGTGGGAACTGGCTTTTATTGCAATGGGAGTTGGCAACAGACTGAATGTGATTGACAGTTTGAATGACGATTTCTTGTGAAATCCTTATTGAAGCAGTACAATGTCACATGTCTTGTAGCGTTGCATTTTAATTCTACAGTTTTAAGTTAATGTTTCGTGGGTCTTTATTCTGGTTTCCCTGAGACCCTACTGCAGGTGTGAGCCCGCGAGATAACAAAATCTTTAAAGTCTGGCAAAGAGAGAGAGAGAGAGAGAAAACATGTTTACTTGCAGTTTCAATGGATATTGCTTGCTTCTCTTTGAATACTTTCCCCAAAATTGAACCGAAGGATTCCTTATCTATCGTCCCATGTGGATGTGGTGAGTGAGAGAGCGAGAGAGAGAGAGAATTTAAACAGACATTGTTCTTCTCCATTTGGTCACGGGAAAAAATCTTGACAGCAAGGCGAAACATTTGGTAAATTTGATGCCTGGATTGAGAAAGAAAAATGTTACAAATTGCAATTTTCGTTAACAACAGAAGCTCGAACAATTCATCAACACTGTTTGAACTTTGAGATTGTGGTTAGTGAAGAAAAAGACTGTTGCTTCCTGTTGCCATGCCGGCAATGTTGTCGTGTGATGGCACTATTTCTTTACAATGATGTTTCTATTGAACAGCAGTGGAATTGCACAAAATTCCACGATCCTAACTTAAACCCTGGCCTTTTGTAGTATGATGTAGGTTTAACAATCATTCAACTATTCAATCAAGAGTTATTCAATTATTCTTAGTTTTTCCTTCCATAATGGCTGAAGCTCATTGTGCAACCTTCTTATTTCTTTGAGTTGTCAGCATAATCTGCCACTTTCTTTGATCTGCTACTTGTAATTGCTGAAAACGGTACTTGTGATGTGAACTTCGCTTTTCTTAGCTCAGTTTGCCAAGAATAAGCCATTTGAAATAGTTTCTCTGCTCCCCCATAAAACTCAGCGAAGATGAAAAGGAAAGCTGTGGATGCTGTAAATCTGAAATAAAAATAGTAAATGCGGTAATTACTAGTCTGTCAGTGTCTGAAGGAGAAGTTTAGGTTAGTGTATGGGTGAGACCTTGCTTCAGAACTGGAACTGTTGGACGGGAGAAAGCTCTATTATAGCAAATAGGACTAGACACAAGATACAAATATGTTGCGATTTAAAGTCCTGTAATTTAAACAAATTATTCCTTTTCCTTATAGCATCGGTTGCTGGCTCGTGGCGTATACCGGTGTTTGTGGTGATTGTCATTTTAATGGTAGCGGGAGCACTGCAGGAGAAGGAGGGAGGAAGTGGAGCTGGTAGGTCTGTTGTGTGCGATATTCCCCTTATTTTCTTTTTCCTTGTTTTTTGCCCTATTTAAAAATGGTGAGGAAAATATCCTATGTTTATTTTGTTTATGGTCTCGGTGAAGCATTAAATAACCATTTATACTTTAAAGTTAAATGTTTACACAGATATTTAGTGGGAAACATGAATGTTTGAATACATATATAGGATGTTTCTCACCTTTCTGTATGCAGCGAAACTTGTACAAATCATCTCTTTATAAATCGTATAATACATACGCACGAGTCACATTCAGGTTCCAACCAACAACCTCTTAGATTTCCTTGCATTCGTCGTATTTTATAAATTGGATAAACGGCTAAATTGTAACGGTTTCTTGGTCCCAAATAATCCTAAATCCTATGAAAATCATCTCTTAACTGTAACACCACTATCTGTACTTACTGGCTACATTGAAGTACTGCACGCAGTGTTCTGTATGAAACAAGCACGGGAAACAAAGTCTTGACCCGTCACCACATACGCATTTACTGGCTGCAGTGATGAAGTATCGCATGTGTGGCACACTACAGTGTACTCTGTTGCATCAGGCAATACAGCAATACAAACAACTAAACTCAAGTTAGTAGCAAGGACCTTGTACTTGTTTATGGTATTTGTTAAGTTTTAGCCATATAAAATCTGACTTGTACATAACTTTGCATAATTCATATATGATTTGACTTATGTAAGTTTGCCTGTAAATCTTACTTTGCATAAGTCAAATTAAATGTTATAGTCCCGACTGATATGACTTGTGCAAATTTACCTATATAAAAACTATCAACACTATAACTTTAGCCTCAATACAATACAAATTTACATTTATATAGCACCTTTCACATCATCCCTTTCAATATGAAAGAATTTTAAGTAAATTAATTTAAACTATCTCTAACTTAATAAAGTTTGCAATGTGATGTTTCTTACAACTTCTTCCTACCATCAGGATGATATGGCTTTTCTTTTTGTGTTCTCTTCCCCTTTTGTTTCTGCAGGTGTGAAGCTGCCTGGTCATATAATTCAGATTGCTGTAAGCACATTTAACATGGCAGTATCCATCAGCGGATTTAGTAGTTGCCAAGATGAACGTCTGCCAGACCCACCGCCAGGTAACTGTGTTTATCCACATTTGAACTAATGAGGGAAATGTAGAACTTGTACAACATGTTTGTACATAGAGCAATTTTTTTAAGTATTGGTAACACTTTAGGGTCATTCAAGAAGAAAATCAGGCAGGAATGGCAGTATAGCTTAAAATGACCAATGTTGTGTAATGGACGATCCAAAATGGCCATCTGTAATGTGAGTTGACCACTTTGCTGGCTACTGTTGCCTTTGCATATGATGGTTTTAATGTGCGAAATGTACAGAAGAGAGATGTATAGTAGTTTCATCTTTTTAAAAAGATGTTTGCACACTAATCTTTACATTTACTAGTGTTGAGGTAACGTAAAGGCTGAGACACCCAATTTCTTGACATTATAGCGTTTCTGTGTTCAAGTGTCTCACTTGTGTTAGGGTAACCTGCAGATGTCTCCTCATGGCTTTACTAAATACTGGGAGTTGTCTCATACTGATTGTCTCAGTGATGAGCTAGCTCATGCTTTCCTTTTCTTTCATCCTTCACCCCTTCCCCAAATTACCAGTGAATCTTCCCTGATGTCTATCTAGGTTATTACTGTACTAGGAATGCCCCACGGATGCTCACACAATGGGCAAGCTGGTTAGAGTCCATCTGTACCCCAACACACACTCTGGGGTCCTCAAGCCAACCTTTGCCTAGTACTTTCTGGAATAATAATTGTGATGACAGTGTATAATTACAGTAATGGTTTCTTTCTCCTCTCCCTCCACTTCCTGAGTTTTTGACCATTGACCAAGAAAGTGAGACGATTTTAAAAAGTTGTGTTCCTCTTTGTGTTTGTAATACCAGAAGATCCATTTAGTTATTATTACAAATTCAAAACTAAATAGAAATATTATAACACTTTTGCCACTCTATTCTTTACCGCCTCTCCTACAGTTGAATGTCATCAAGGCTCTCTTGCTTGGCTTCCGTCAGCGCCTCTTGTCAGTTCAGCTCCAAGTAGACCCTGCTTGCTTCCCCGCACCATTGTAAAGAAATAAAGCTTAGCATTTTGGTAGTACAGTATCATAGTGGAACATGTCAAACACTTTGTAGTACTCACTGCAAAGTGTAGTGATTGCTTTTATAGGCAAACACATCAGCTGATTTGCAGCACAGCAAAATATAGGATTGTGGAGTCCTGTAGCTCAGTGGTTAGAGCAGTTCAATTCCCGGCAGAGCAAAATGCTGGGCATGTTTCCTTACTCCTCAGTTTACCTAGCAGTAAGTAGGAACCCGGTTGTTAGTCGATTGGCAGATCGCTTTTCCAGGTTAATAATTCCTTCAAAAAAAATCCCCCAAAGAAGTAAATTGGTCACTTCAAACCACGACTGTTTGTGGGACACTGCTGTGCGCAATTGGCTGCCATGTTTCACCCACAAAATATCCAGTTAATTCACTTTACGGTATATTCTGTGAAGCGCATTGAGAAGTCTAGAAGACGTGATAAGGTGCTAAATCAAATGCAAGGATTATTATTATACATTATTATCCCATAAACAGCCTTGAGGTGAATGACTGATTGATTCAGAAGATTATTAGCCAGAATACTGGGAGAAAATCCCTTCTCTTTTCACCTATCATGGCATATGTAATGTCCTTATGAAGAACAAGGTCTACATGTACAGACTCATCTTTGGGGCCAGAAATCAGGCAAACCAAGATAAGAATATCTTTTTGAAACCCGGCTTCCTAATTGATCCTTAACGCTGTGGTGACGACCTGGAATTCCTCTGTGTAAAGCAGCCAATATGTTTTGAGATGAAACTTGTTGCTGAGGCTACTTTGTATCTCAGACACGACAACTTGACCCTGGTTCACTCAATTTAACTTGATATTTGGTCTGGTCAAGGCATTAACATAGTCTATTTGTTTAACAATTTTGCAGTTTCCAATAATGTTTTGAATATGCAACACTGTCAATTTGTTTTCCTTCCTAGAACCTTTCGAAAATAGAGACCTCCGTGCTTCTTCCTCTTATACTCCACTGGGCATTCCAAGACCTGAGATAGCTTTTATAAAGAAGAAGAAAACAAGCGATATTTATTTTGTGCTCCTCGTCTGGGCGATAGTTGTGGTACAGATCTGGCTGAACCTTTGGATACTGCAGTTGCTTCCTGTGCCCGTGGCTGGTAATGTCTTATCGCATCAAATATCCTACCGTAGGGCCTGTCACAGTGCTGGTCATGATTAATTATACCTTTGGAAATGTAAGGAAAAGTTCAGATTTGGAGGATAGCTGAACTGTAGGACTTGGATTAATTCCAGTACAGTATTAAGAAAATACATTTTCATAAATATTCTTATTGAGATTTCCTGTTTTTCTCGTCTTTCTCTTTTGCCCTGCTTATCTCATCAATTATATGGGATGTGCTCTTAAAGGAAACTTTGTGCTATGAATAGTGCCTAAAATAGACCTCATAAATTAAAGGCCATGGGTATCAATAAGTACTCTGATTTCATTTCATGCCCTTTGTAAATGTAAGATAGTCTCTTGCCAGAGTGCTTGCACTGTTGACCCAAGGCAGTCTTTTGTGAGCATGGTGCTACAGTGGGCCCTCAATACTGTATTTCCTTTTCCTAATTATTACTTGATGCAATTTACACACCAGTAACATGATTGAGATTTCAGTTGTATGTCAGGAATACTTTCTCGTTTCCTGTTCAAACTGATGGTGACAGAGGCTTAAACACGATCATGTACTCCTTCCTTTAACATATTTAAGGACATAAAAAGTTTAAGTCAGGAAACAGCTATTAATACCTGTGGAAAAATAAGCATCAGACTTCTCTTCCTCCTCATTCTTCCATTGTTAATTTATGTTCCCCATTGTTTGGATCTATCAGTATACTGAACAATTTACCTGGATCAACCTTGTTAACTCTCTTCATAACTTTGAACACTTCTATTAGGTCAACTTGAGATCCCTTTTCCAAATAGAAGAATCTCAAATTTCATTAACCTTTCTTTATAATTTTCCTAAAATCTGATATTCAATTGAAATTACGTTTTAATGGCATTAAGATTTTAGTAGAATAATTGCTAATCTTTCTTCATTTGTCCACCTATACATGCAAATTAATGGACAATACCCCTTTAAAAAAGTTACGTGGGAATCATATTGGGATAATCAGTATGGTTGTTTGAAAGAGAGACAGATCCTTGTGTAGTATACGTGTTAAGGGGTGTGGTGAAAGTGCAGAGCATTGGGATTAAATTACCTAACAATGTAATAACCTGCTGGAAAGGGCTCAATAGACTGAATGGTCTCCACGGCAACATTTTCATGTTTCTTATGACATGCCGTCTTCTCCAAGATCTGCTTAGTATATACACAAACACCTAACTAACCAGAGTAATAGGGATTGGGGTGGGGGTTAAGATGCTGTCCAGCAATCTGGATCTTCCGGCTAACTGTTAAACCTAAAGCCTATATGTGGAGATTATTATTAATCATTAATAATAAAATTAATAATAATGAATAATAATAATCTTACATTTGGTGTGGTGCCTTTCACGTCAGGATGATGTTTCAAAGAGCTTCACAGGATATATTGTAAACTGTGTATTTGGTGGGCAAACTCAGCAGCCAATTTTGTGCACAATGTCCCACAATCAAGCATGAAGTAAATGACCAATTTTATTTGGGGGATTATTGGCCAGGATATCGGGGGGAAAGTCCCATTTTGAATAGTGCCACGGGATTTTTAATGTCCACCTGAACAGATTTTAACACAACCTCAATTTAATGTCTCATCCGAAGGACGATTAAACTAAAGTGAAGAAATGCCCATCATTTCCTTTGCAAATTGTGCCCTGCTTCAATGATTTAATTACCATTGGTAGAAGTACCATTGCAAAATCAACTACATACCTCAAACAATGTAACTGTTCTTTCAAAACCAAACTTGTTGTTTGGGGATGGGAGGAAGGAAGAGAAACGGAAAAGGAGACAGTACTCTGTTACAAATGCCTTGAATATCTTAAAAAAAAATTCACTGCTCTATTGCAAATATAATGTCAGGCATTAGACAACTATGCTGTGTGAGCTGATGAGCTGAATGCAGCTGTTTGCTAGGATGTACCATACCAGCTCCTCTTCCCCCACCAAGAAGAAGCCTTTTTGAAGTGTCTCAGAATGTACAGAGCTAGAATCCCAGGTGAAGCAGCACAGCAATTTCACATTAAGGATCCATAATTGGGTTGGTCCACTGAAATAACGCAGAAGTAATTTCACTTCATTTGTCACTGCCAAATATATGTTCACATTTTACTGTTGCATTTTCCATAAAGTGTACTGATAGCTATGTCTTGTTATGGCAACAGTTTGGGTGTTAAAGAAACTGGTCCTTCGTTTTGGAGTAATGAACTTTGCACAGAGGCAGCTGAGTAGCTATTGGGAAATCCTGGAAAACTTTATTAAAGAAAGGCAGGATGCTTTGGCTCCAGGACCCATACGAGGCCTTGGAAGAATCCTAGTAAAAGCTGACATCAAGGTATGTGTTGTGGATTATGATGAACTTCAAATTTACCTGTTTTAGGATTTACCAAGTGATGGAAAGAGTTTTAACAAAAAATCAGTTTCCTTTTTGTTCATGTGCAACAAGGGATATATTTCACAACTGTCAACAATACCTTGTGGAGCATATAAGATCCCCTGAGCATGCCAAATAACATATGGCGTTGTATTGCCTAGTTCATTTGAATGACAAACTACTTTTCCAATAGGGCCAAAGGCCTAAAACTTCAAATGTAGAAACATTGATAATGTGCTCTAAGGCTTGACATTCTGTGTGATCACGTTGCTAATGTATCTTCACCATGTAGTATGAGAAATCTTACTCTAGTGCCCCGAGTGAAATGAATCTTAGAATTATTCACTTCAATAGGCCATCCACAGAGTTTTATTAGAAGTAGAGGTGAGGTCATCAAAGATGCCTTTTATCCACCCTGCATGTTGGTTCTCAGTTCCCATTGATGATTGGTGGTCAATAATTCAATGTTAATGTTTTTTCCTTCATTGTAATGTAAATATTGGGTATTTGGGAAAATATTACTCCTTTTCAGGAAATGTCATAGTTGTGATGGACAAGGTAGAAGAAAAATCCTGAAGAATGTTGATTGGTGACAGTTGCATTAGATATGTTCTATAAAATAATAATGCTGTAAACAAATGTTACATGAAGTATTCTTGACAGCAAAGTGATAATTGGAACAGAGTAAAATAGCTAGCTTTCATATCAGGACTGAGATAGTTAACAAACCTTTGTGATCAAAATGCAGCGCACCTCAGGACTATCTGCAAAGGTCCACAAAAAGAGATGCTGTACCTTTAAATTCTTTACAATCCTTATGTTTTTTCTTCTACCTTTCCTCATACCAAAATAACAGGGAGGGATTTGTCTCCCAAAGCCTCTCTCAGGATCATTCTTGATTTATTGCTGGAAGATAAACTCACTAAGGTCACTGGCCTGCTGTTTTTTGGCTTATTCTGCAGGGAAGAGTTGCAAGCATTTTAAAATTGAAAAATAACCTAATTTAAATGGCATAAGACACAAGTTAACTACTAAAAGTATGTAAATGTGAATCCAGTAAAATATTGCATTAAAATGAAACCAATGGCTAGTTTAAGATTTTATGTACGTCACAAGTTTTTCTACATGTTTAAGCTTTTCTAAAATGGGATTTTGCTGATCTAGTTTTCTTAAACGCCTAGAGTAAGCAGTGATGAATTGGTTATGTATGACTTTCTGTAATGTGTTTATATCAAATGCAATTTCAGTGCTTCCTCTTGAGTTTATCCCCTTCTTCTTCTATCAAATATTTGCTCAGTTAGAAATAGATGTGATAAAATAGAAGGATCTCTACTTTCTTTTGAAGGCTGGGATCAATGATAAATTTTAAGTGTAAAATAAGTCTGGGTTTTCTATAAATAACTTTCAGGGCCTTGACTTTGAACAGCTGCTATCAAGCTTCTTGCCAAACTACTAAAGGAAATAACATAGTAAACCTCTACTGTTGCTCAAGTAAAAGGGCCTTTAAATTTTTAATGGATAGTAATGCTCAGCAATAACAAAAAGAAACCTGATGAAATGTCTGCCTCTCTGTTTAACCAATCCCTATTACTCTATTCTCTGAAATCCCTACTGAAGAGCACGTATAATTTAATGTGAGACGTCATTTTTAGCAGCTAATTGTTTTTATATCCATATTATCTCCTGTCATTGAGTGTCACCTAATGCATTCATACAAACAGACAGTAGTTCCTCTTGTAATAAAGCAAATGGTTCCCATCAATGTCCTCTCTCTGACCTCCTCAACCTTCCCTGCTTCCTTCTCAAACTGCGCAACATCGCCATCCAGTAAAGACCTCAGCTCTCCTTCCTCCCTCGCATTTGGTCCCTGGCTAAGACTGATTTTTTTTGCCTTTGTCTCTCACCAAATGCCACTAAAACCGTTATTCAACCTTTGTTATTTCCTGCTTCAACTTATCAATTGCACTCCTCACTGGTTTCCCTAGATTCACCATCCGTAAGATCCAGCTGATCGTAAACTCTGCTGCCATATCCTGACCTGCACCAAACACTGCAAGCCCATCACTCAAGTCGTCACCAGGCTCCACTGTTACCCAACAAATCTGTTTCAGGTCCCTGCCCTCACCTATAAATTCCTTCATCTCCTGATCTCTGGGTCTTCTACCCCACTCTTCTGCTTGCCTCCACTGCTGGGCTAACTTGGGATTGCTGCTGTCCCCCACGGCTTTCGAGCAGCATCGGTGGAGAAGCTTTTAGCAACTATAATAATTACTTTTAAATCCTTGCATTCATACAGCGTTGGGAAGATATCTCAAAGCGCTTCGTAGGATTTATTGTAAAGTGTAATAATCGTATATTTTGTAGGCAAACAATCCGAATAAGCTTTTAACCTTCAGAACTCCCTTCCTCTCACCTACTCTCTCTGTCTTTCTTTAAATCCTGCCTAAAATGTTACCCCTTTGACCACATCTATTGTCACCTTCCCTCCTTCCTTGCTTGGGTTGTGCCTCATCATTGTGTACCTCAGTCTTTATCCTATTTGAAGAGCTCTATAGAGAAGCAATTTTTTGTTGTAAATATTCAAATATATTACACATAATTGTAATGAAGGTATTGTCGATGCAAACTTATAAGAATGCATCTGTATCAACTAAATCTGCACATTTTATTACTTTTCACAATGTTTCATCAGTAACCCTCAATATCCTTTTGTCTTCTTCCTAAAGCTATGGCATTGGCTTAATAAGCAGGTAACTTGCAGGTTGCCATTTCAGATCAAATGCTACTCATTTCATTTTGTGCACTTAGAGCTTTAAGCATGGATGTGCAGTTCTCAAAACCTACTGTGGTTGGGGTGGGGGATCATTATTATTATTAAGGTTGCATTACTTTTCAGCACAAAACATTGTCTCATTCTAAGCTGTAGGAGGTCAGATTTTAACATGTAAATTTTGCTCTCTTAAAAAAAGAGGCCTGTAACTGCATTTAAGGCACTGAAGAGTAGTGCACTGAATTATTTCAGCATTGTGTACACTGGTACACTTGAGTTAACATTTTGTTTTTACGAAAGTCAGAATATATTTTTGAATTGTTTGTTTTTCTGTCTCCCCGACAATATTTACGGTATCAGCCTGGCGCAGATGATAATAGTATAATACTTACATTTAATATAAAGCCTTATCACATTGTCTGTCTCAGAATTTACTGCGGCAGCCAATTAGCAATGACCTGTAGATAGCCATGATTTGAATGATGAATTGCATTTGGGAGAATTGTTGGCCAGGACAAACTGTCCTCTCTTTTCAAATCTTGCTGTGGGATGTTTAGTGTCCTTCCGGGCTGGCAGATGGGTCCTCAGTCTAATGTCTCATCCAAAATAATGCAGCAGTGATAGATGCTTCCCAAACAATCTGCTGACGTACCAGCCTAGACTGTGAGCTCATATCACTGGAAGTGCTTCTGACTGAGCCAGGCTAACACCTATGGCACTATTGATGCTGAGTGACATGTTGTGGGTTCGAGCTCCATTGTGGGACTTTGAACTCACAGTCTAGGCTAACACTCCAGCACAGAGCTGAGGGTGGGCTGCATTGCACTTGACAATAAATCCTTTGAGATGTCAAGGATTATTACTCAGTTGTGATTGAGTATTTAAATATGGCACAGATATTTTAAATCTTTGTAGAGTACTTAACCATTTAAGACATTTTAAAGGTTCAAGGCAGTTTTATATTAAAATAAAATAAAATATTCATAGAATTCCTTACTATGACCCAGTAAGTATAGGTGCACTGTAATTGCATCACATCTTGTCATAATACAACTACATTATAGCTGAAATACAGTTCTAGTTTACTAGTTGCCTGCTTACATTTTGAATTGATGAGTCAAATCCAAGGATTATTGTAATCTGGAGTTATTAACTTGGTTCAAAGGGAATGTCAGTTGTTTTAGAAAATGAATGGATTTTAAAATGTTGATCTTCTACAGCTTACAGCATCTTTTAATTTATTTTCTATTTGTTTTACTATTATGCATGAATTAGTTTCACATTTTGAAATGTTAACTTGTTGACCTTTGATGCACTTTTAGCAGTTCAAAATGGTGCTAATTCTCTTAGTCTTGTTCTGTGATTACTGAGATCTTATGCATGGACATGAAGAAACTTGTGTTACTGAATGAGAAGTTAGAACTGTTAATTGTTTACTTGTATTTAATGTACATTACAGTGATTAGTTTTTTGTTCTGTTTACTTTATTGGTACGGTTACTATTGTATTGGTGTGTTTCTATTTTTATTACTAAAATTAAAACACAAATAGGACTCCAACACTTCCATCTTCCCCTTTCAAGTAAATACACGTTGCAATAGAATTTTGACAATGGATACACATCTTAGCTCACGTTAATGGGCAAAAATGATAAATTGATAATGCACTATTGTAATCTGAGGTAATGAAACATTTGAAATTATCCTTTTGACAAAATGTTTGAAGCTCTGATATTTATGTTTATTTCTGGAAAGTGAATGTCAGATTTTGATTTTTTNATCTTATTTTTTCTTCTATAACTGTATAACTTGAACTTAGTTTGACAAAATGTCAAACAATTCCACAGGTTAACGAGATGCAAGCTGCCCGTTTTTACTTTTCACTTATTAGCACAAGATTTTATTTTTGCCTCAAAATCTTTTATTTTGGGGGGTTTTCTTAAACACAATTGTAAATAAATGAATCATAAAATATAATCTCACATGAGAACATAAATAGTGAACCCTCTCAGGTCTGAAGTTTAGTTGTCTGTCATTACCCCATCATTGCGGTATCTTCAATTACCCTTAATTCATACATGATGAATGATTGAAGTCAATGCAGAGAAAATAAAATGCAAAGGGCTAACAAAATAGTTATTAGGTTTGTATTTTGGAGTTAGCTTTTACTCTGTTTTCAGTAGTGCCTCAGGCAGGACTAAAGGGAAGAGCTGGTATATAATAGCTACGTATCTCTGTATTATGTATATAAGTAACACCTTCAGCACAAGTTTCTACATGTTTTCGCTGATTTGTTATTTTGATGGAATTAAGTTGTCTTCTATGAAAAATGTTTCTTTTTTCAGATGATCTTTTGGTTGGAAAAATCATTGGACAAATTAATCAGCATTTTTATCATATTTTTGTTGGTGATGGGAACATTACTGCTGGCCCTACTCCTTACTGCAAAGGTATGGTTTGTCTTTTTTTGCCACAAAAATAATCTGAGAGAAGGTACCTCTACTGTTGTATCACATTCAAAAGTGATGTTACTTTTTCAATGCTAGTTTAAAAGGTTCTGTAGCTTTGTAAGGTATCCTTGGAGCTAAGCAGGGTCTCCTTGGAGCTGAACTGGCTCCAAAGTGACATGTCTGGCAATGGAATATCAGAATGGAGTCAGCCCTTCGTGGCGGTCTCAGTAGTCCGGGTTCTGAGTCAGGCGGTTCTGCAGTATTCCAGGGCACTGCTGATGGCAGCACAGCCAGCCTGACTCATCAACAGGATCCGGAAGGGCAGACCAGTCATTGGGGGCAGCAAATCATCCCTCTCATCTCCTGTTAACCCTACAAGCCATAGCTCTAATGGGTAGGGTGGTCCTAACTGGACAAGTAGCGTGAAAGCTTGCTGAACAGCAATATCAGTGTGCTCACCAACAGTAGATGTTTCCTTTTTCTTTTCAAGATTAACTAGACATTGTTTTTAAAAATTCAGCATATAATGTGACATGAATCATTTGTGGCAACATATGCAGAGTTGCAAATTTAGAACCCCGAACTCATCAGCTAGTTATGTCCTGGATTACATATACAATTATATGAGTTTAAGTTGCACATAAGTTGTAAAGTACATTTTTGCCAGCTCACCTCTGACGAAAATTGATGTAAGATACCCAGCTGGTTTAAAAAAAAAAAGAAATTAAGTACTTAAGTAAGTCATACTCACAAATACTACAGGCAGGTGTAGACAACTCGGTAGAACGGTGGAACCCCATCATAAATCCCACATAAAAATCTTACGAGTCCTCTTAATTGAAAGAAAGCAGGAGATTGCAAAAGTGAACAGTGTGCTGTATAAGATAACAAAACATTTGGAATTGGAACTCCGAAATAATTTCTCACTTCAAACCTTGAGAGAGTAGTGTTTTCTACTGCTTCATACTCTTTCATGCTGCTGATATTTACTGTAACTTCTACAGGTTCACCAGGAGAGTGTACACATTATCCAGGTCACCAGCAGCTTGATTAATGAGACTGTCGCTAACCATCCTGAATGGGCAAAGTAAGCAGCAAAAGCGTTTCAGAAACAGAACATCAATTTACACTTTTTTTTTCCTCTTTGTCTTTCCTTTTCACTTCTTAATGTAAAATACTTGTCCTGGCATTGTCCTGTATGTTTTCCAATGTTGTGAAATCGTGCTCAAAGAGGAGAAAAGCCCAAAAGGAAACATGCCCAAACAAAACACTCTGCTACATCCATCAAAGTGATGGCTTCATTGTAAGTGGTAATGAGTAGGAAGATAACACTTTAGTTAACCTTTGTTTTGCCTGTAAAATGCATGAAATGTGTGTTTTGGACAAGTTCCCTAAAGTAGGAAGCACACAGGGCAGCTCGTATGATGTTATATTTAAAAACGTGTCTCTCCATCCAAACCTTTGGTCAATATCTGTAAATCTGTTATATCCTTGCTACTTTTGTGAAGTACATGGAATTCTCAATTTGGTTTGAATATCTTTAGCATGGTGATGGATTTCCGCATGTATCAGAAACCCGGATGACCAAAAAAAGTGCACTGAGATGTTTTTAGATTGAAGATATGATATAAATACAACCTGTTGTAAAAATTTCTGGAGAAAATATTAGTAAGTGGAAGCAAATAGATTTTTTGGGGGGACTTAATTGACATTAAAAAAAATTACACTTGCATTTGATGTTGTGCCTTTTACATTGGAGGACATCTCAAAGTGCTTCACAGGATTTACTCTAAAATGTAGTGACTGAACAAAACAAAATCGTGTAGTTTGTTCCCATTATAACGGTGGTTTGGATCAGTAAACTCAGACCCTATCTTACCTTGGGTTCGAGTGCCACTGACATCACTTCCTACACCTGATGAGCAAGAAGTGCTGCTAACTTCATTTCCTTTGTGCTGTACACGCGCAGGAAGCTGGTCAGTCAGTGGCAGGTCCAGAAGTATACCGCAGCTCCGGTCTACAGGTCTAGTTCGGGGTCTGCAACCTAAAGAGAACAGGAGGTCACAGAGATAGGGTGGGACATGGCTGCAGAGGGGTTTAAAGCTGTAGTTTTCATAATTATGTGTGAAATGCTTTTGATTTTTATGATCTGTGTAACTTTCAAATCTTATTCTTCATTCTTCAAGAAATGCCTGATAATAGTCTCTTAATTTTATTTTCCAGCTGGCTTCCTGAGGCCCAGGTAATACAGAATGCACTGAATTCTGCTGCCAATAATGTGTACCAGTATGGAAGAGAGTGGATAACTCACAAGGTAAGACACCGATGCTGGAATTCATAAAGGTGAAATTATAGGTTGATTTCTGATAGTTCCTTGTTGATAAAATTCAACTTTAGTGTTAGTATCACTCCAAATAGAAATACATGCACAATGTGGAAAAAATGAGCATGAAATGAGAAAATATATTTTAGTTGACAAAAGGCTGTTTAGGAGTTGAGAGACCTTAGTTGTTAAGGAGATCAATGAGGTTTCCTTCCCTCATTAATCTTAGGATTCAGAAATCATCTGAATTGCATTTGATTGAAGTGTGGGAATTAAAGACACAGTGTGCTTCGTGTTTTTCAATTGAAGTTAAAATGGTTGCGTTTTACTCTCCAGACAGGACTGGCTCTAAGAATCTCTCTATTGGTCCACTGAGGACTGACAAAAAATGATTACAGGAAGCTGTCAGGCACATCACATCATCTTGTTTATCATTAAATTGCTCTTTGTTTGTTGATATTATTTCTGTTTGTTCAGCTTCATAAGATTTTGGGTGACAAGATGAACAACACAGCTGTAATAGAGAAACAAGTTCTGGAGCTGTGGGACAGACTGTATCATAATTGGTTTGTAAAGGTATGTGTGTTGACTGCACTTTCGGTCATCTTTTCCTTTCTCTTCAACTCCTACCCCAAGCTTTTAAAGGCACTTTTGAGATGTTTCATCATTTTAACCATCCAAAACCTTCTGTTTTGAATAGTGGCAAACTTTCCTCTATTGTTAAGTTATGGCATTGGCAGACTTCCAGCCCCCAGTGATTCGTCTGCTCTGTTCTTGACTGGTCTGTCAAATTCAGACAACAAGCTTTAGAATATGGTTGACCCATCTGGCTCACGAACTGGACTACTGAGACTGCCACGGAGGATTGACTTGATTTTAGTCTTCTATTGACCCAAATTTCCCCCAAAAGATCTGTTTTGTTACCTTCAACTTGAAATAACGGAGGCACCCTGGATGGGAGCTGAGCAGCATCATATGAATTCAACATTAATGAGCCCAGTTTGTGGGACTGTCAGAGCAGAGACCAAAACCACTGTAATGAATCAGCAATTCCACCAATGAAGGGTGTTGCCACCATCCCGTGAAATTTGTACCAATTACATTTAAAAACTTCAAAGATCTAGGTTTTGTCATGACTTCAAAATGCATATTTTTGGAAACCCAATGTTGGAATATGAAACGAGAAGCTATAATAAATGATAAAGCGACACTTTATGAAATGTAGTGACGTTCATGTGGGGAAGGACTGCAGCTACTCTGCACCAGCATATCCCTGAAACATATTTGGGATGAGGCAGGGATAGTTATTGTCTGCTGGCATAAACTACAATGAGTTCCAGTCTGATCAGAAGTATTAATTTAGTGTGAAATGAAGCAATAATTTAAATTGGATCCGTAGCTCATGAGTATGTTGCTCTAGGGCCCATTTTGGCACTGTAGGAAATCTACATACTTATATCATCCTTGTAGCTGTGTGGAGTGGATTTTTGCTACTTTACAATGAAAGTTTGTTCTATCTAAATGTATTTATGTATTCCAACATTTAATCAATTACAGCTGGCTTGTTTTGTCAAATTCCCTTTTCACAATGGTCCCTGAACTTGTTGTTTAAACCATTTTAGAATGTAACTCATGCTGGAAGACATAAAGGTTACAAGTTGGCCATCAATCGACAGAACAGTTGGCTTGGAGACATCTTAGACTGGCAGGATGTTGCGTCTTTTGTTCACGAGAACATTGAGATGTTCCTTTCTGTGAGTATTCTAGCTTTTAATCGGTGATAAGTTCTTCTTTGTGATGAGATGAGCCCCAGAGCACAATATATTTAGTTTTAAGAGAAACATAAAGTAATATCTGGCAAATAAGTTGTACTCTTGTGCATGTACATTGTTTATGGCCTAGCTGTAAATTATTTGGATTGTATTATTGTATTTAGTATAACTGCCATCTTTGTGGTGTCTTATTAAATTTTTGAGTTAATTTTTACACCTTGCAATAGTGAAATTGATTGAGTGCCCTTATGGTTACTGATTTGAAGTCCTGACATCGGTTTGATATTGTATATTTTACAGCTGCAATAATATAATGGATGTTTTACTCCTAGTTCTCCCAAATCAGGTGCTGCATGATTCCTTTAAATTCCATCTTTTCATTCTTGCCTTGAGCAGGTTACGTCTTACAAAGATTTACAAAGAATGTACAGCACAGAAACAGGCCACTCGGCCAAATCAGTCTGTGCCAGTGTTTATACCCACATAAGTCTCCACCCTCTCCTTACTCCCTCTAGTGCCCTTCTATTCCCTCTTCCTCATATGAAGGTCTAGCTTCATCTTCAATGCATCTGTAATATCTGATTCAACCTCTGATTCAACTCTCAATGAGTTCCACGGTCTCACTACCACCTGCAAGTTGTAGTTCCTCCTATATTCTCTTTTAGATCACATAATCACTATCTTATATTTGTGTTGCCTGGGTATGGACTCCCCAATTAGTGGAAACAGCTTATTATGTTAACTTTAATCAACCATTTTATAGTGTTTAAACACCTCCATTCGGTCACCTCTTAAATATCTTTTCTCTAGCAAAAAAGATCTACTAACGTGTCCAGTATATCCTGATAGCAATAATCTACCAACCTTTGTCTCATCCTTGTAACCCTGCACTGTACTATTTCCATCATTGCTATATTCTTTCTATAGTGGAGACCAGAACTGGACATAGTCCTCCAAATGTGGTCCAACCAGCAACAGCAAAGAATTGCATTTATATAATGCCTTTCATGTTGGGAGGATGCTCCAAGGCGCTGCAGGTCTTATACAAATTCAACATCAATATCTTATATTGCTACAGTAACTTGGCTTTGTATAATTAAATGAATACAGTCTTAACTCTAGTAGCTAGGATAATAAGCCCATTAATGGCCAGCCTTTCTCTATTGCAGTAAAAATCTCCAAAGACACTGAAAACAGTGGGATTACTTTATAGCATTACTGAATAAATAATCCTAGTTGTGCAAATGGGGACTCTTGGTATCTGAAAGCACATCAAGCTGAACTGTACGAACTCCATCTGATTTGAATGGAGTTCTTGCAATTTGAGGGGAATTCTAACTCGATTCCTTATTAAGTAATTCTGTTAAAAGTCTTACACATTAGACTTCACTACAGCTAACATAATATAATTAGGTAGCTGTAGTATTAATAAATGCTGCATTATAATCTAAAATCTGTCTCCATTATGAAGAATTATGCAAGGATTATTAGTTATATTGGTTGTACCAATAACCCCAACGGGGTTACTTTAGCACATTTATTTTGAACAATCCTGTGGTACGTGCACATTTTCTGTCAAGTTTTTAAGAGTTACAAATCATAGAATATTACAGAAGGAGACCATTCGGCCCATTGTGCCTCTGCCGGCTCTTTGGAAAAGCTACTCCATATCCTTGCAAATTTTTCCTCTTCAAGTATCTATCCAATTCCCTTTGAAAGTTGTTATTGAATCTGTTTTCACTACACTTTCAGGCAGTGCATTCCAGGCAGTAACAACTCTCTGTGTAAGACAAAATTCTCCTCATCTCCCCTCTGGTTTTTTGCCAATTATCTTCAATCCATGTCCCCAGGTTACCAACCCACCTGCCAGTGGAAACAGTTTCTCCCTATCTCCTCTATCAAAACCCCTATTTATTATGAACACCCGTATCAAATCTCCCCTTAACTTTCTCTGCTCTAAGGAGAACAATCCCAGCTTCTCTAATCTCCATTCTGGTAAATCTCCTCTGCACCCTCTCCAAGACCTTGATATCCTTCCTAAAGTGTGGTGCCCAGAATTGGACACAGTACTCCAGCTGAGGCCTAACCAGTGACTTATAAAAGTTTAGCAGAACTTCTTTGCTTTTGTACTCTATGCCTCTATTTAAATTTACAAAGCTAATGGCTTTGAAAAACATTCTTTGTGGAGTCTGTTATTGCTAGTGTACAGTAAAGCTGATGCATACAGAGAATATGGATAGCCTTTATTACATTGTATTAGTAAAGTTTCTTTATCATTCTTTTTGGTTAGTACTTTGATGAATTAACACCTGCTTGATATTACAGTATGGATTTTATATTTTGTTTTTATAGAAAGCTTCAGAAATATAATGATATTGTGCCTCCCAGCACACCCAGATCGGCTGTAACATGAGTTAGATTTAGGATAGTGCCCCCTCCACTTTGCCCAATTACTGGCCCTTAAACACAAACCGACAAACAGACCTCCACCACTACGTGCATATCTATTTTCCACATTACAATCCTTATGGCCCCGCTGAAGTTCACTAGTTAGTCCTGAACAATATTTGGTTTTGTGCTGTGGAGTTACTGTACTTTGTCAGTAAATCATGTTACTTTAACTCTTTCTAAATATCTATCAGGCTTGGATTTGAACCTAAATTCCAGAGGTGAATGCATGCTCTAAAGCCTTGCCCAAATCTTTGGTCTTTGTGATAGAATGCAGGAACTAAGTGTAGAATGAGAACAGGCAAGTCAACATGTCAATATGGAAACCAGTAGACCTTTAATGACTAACCAATACAAATATTTTTTTTCAACAATCCTCCCTTGTTTATTTCTCCTGCCTTCTTTAAATTCCGTGGTAATGCAATATTTTTTAACCTAGAAGTACACAATGGATACCTCTTTGTTGCCATCTGAAACCAGCCACATGGGATGCATGAATGCATAGATCTTCAGATGACTCTCTTCTCTTGTCTGTGATAACCTGCCTGAGATCATGAGCTTGCCATGTGGAGAATAATGTTCTGTATTTTTGTAACCTAGAACCTATATAGTCCCTTTTATATCACAGCTACTAGGAAGGTAATTTGTCCAGAGTGAAACGTGGATAAGAATAAACTGGGAAAAATATTAAAGGTAAATGTTACCAAATGCTTGATAAAGGGCTGCTCGTTTGATGGGATAATGGCAGTGACATTCTGTTCCGTACACTGTGAATATCTTGGTATTAATCATTTAAAATTCTTTATTCCATCTCCTTCATTCAGATGAAGGGTTATTTTATGATACTTTAACAATAACTTCTAAATGATTTGCAACTTTTTATACCAGCTTCTCTTTGTCAGATGCTCTCTTTTTTCAAAAATAGGATCTTTTCAAAAATAAACCTTAAGCAATGTCCAAGACTGAAAAAGACCATTGCTACCGCTCTCCAGTCCCAGAGCAAAATAAAGAATCCTATACTGTTAAATAATCTCTTTGTCTGATGCGCTTCAATTGATTTCTTGACAAAATAGCTAACTAATTCTCTCAAATTCATTCAGACAAACTTTCTCTTTGGTTGTGCATTCCTCAGGATTACTCATGAATAAAAAGTGCTTGTAACCCTCCCATCGTCAAACTTGCAAATAATTTGATGTAATTAATTTTTCATTCGATGTAAAATGAACACAAAATGATTGATGCATTTACCTGCATCTGGAAATATGAACTTTAACTAGGATGGTTTCTAGACAATCCCCATGTTTGTTGGGGACTAAATCAAACCAGTTGCAAACAGGTTCTAGTGCTCTAACAAATTGACTTTGGAAGGCTGCAATGTTTTCTCAAGCAAAATAAGTGGAACAGAGTTCAAAGTATTATGTTTAAGCTCTATGAAGCACTTTGAGAAATCGTCCCAACATGAAAAGCATTATATAAAAATAATTGTTGCATTGTGAACAAGAAATGCACTGGTGTATTTTACTTACTGCGATTGAAAAATATTTTTGTTGCAGGAATTGTTATTTTATTAAAACTCCAATCCTAAATCTTATTTCATTCCATTGTCTTCAGTTTTTTTAAAACCAACTGATTAAAACTTTTCATGTGGCAGCCTGACTCAGTAGATAGTACTCTTTCAAAATTAAGTCTTTCAAAAGGTATGGTAATGCTAAACAGTTATGGAATTGTTTTATATTATCAGAACTGGATTTTTTTCCTGCTTTCTTTCTCATTCCCTCTCATTCCCAATTTTCTCTGTGTATTAAATTCTTTCTCAAGAGTGTGGTCTGCCTGATGGTTTCCATAGTTTCTACTTGTAGGCATTTTGTCAAGTCAGTGAAAAACAATCCTGCATCAAGCTAACTATGCAAGCTGCTTTTGGAGGAGAGGTAGCGGAGAGAAAATTACCGAAAGAAGCAAAAATATTTTGGCTGTTGCGGAAAGGATCGAGATCACTGGTAGAATTCAGTCAATAAGAACTGCAACAATTACCAAACGAGATTTGTGCATTCACCATTCTTTGGCAAAATCTGCAACCAAGTATTGTACTATTTAGTAGGCAACAAGAACAGAGGATCTTTGACACCTCCATTTTGTGTAACTCTTTAATATGCAGTAAGGCATTGGCCTGTTTAATCCCTTTGTATTCCTGTTCACTGTTAGCACCAGCGTGATACCAACGACAAAATAAAAAGAGATGCAAAAGTAACCCAAAATATCAGTAGAAGTACACCAAAAAAAGGTTTTCGATAACTATTTTTACATTGATAATGATAATGTACCACTCTCATAGGTAGGGCTTTGAGTTGCACAGTTCGGGGCATTTCTGCACCTCCAACTTTGTTTTGGATTACTGTGTGCCTGTGTACATACACCTGTCCGATGTCCTTCCTCAGAGCTGGTTAAACCCCAGGGCAGACACGTTATCCTAACTCAGAGGATAGATTTTTAAGACATGTTCAAAAACATACATTGTGTTGGGTATGCTGCACCTA